GTTGTTAGGTTTTTGTTTTCGTTTGCTTTTTTGTTTGTTTTTTCTTTGTGTTTGTATTGGTGTTTGTGGTTGTGGTTGGGTTTGTTGTTAGGTTTTTGTTTTCGTTTGTATTTGTAATTGTGTTAGCGTTATGTTTGCGTTTTGTTGTTTTGGTTTTGGTTGGTTGTGGTTTGGGTGGGCAATGCCGGGTATAGAATGATTACTAAACACACAGGTAATGGTCTTTAACAGAAAGGTTTTATTACAGAAGCCAGAGCAGGGCCTGGCCGGGACGGCTAGTTCTTTTAATAAAAACATACTTGCCACATTTTTTTACAGAGTAAGTTAATACTTCATAGATCTATATCACAAAAAAACCCTGAATGTCAAGTGTCATCAATGTATGACAATAAATCTTGAATGTCAAGTGTCGTCAGTGTATCACAATAAACACTAAATGACACGTGTCATCAGTGTATTACAATAAACCACGAATGTCACTCCTCACCAGAGTGTGTAACAAAAAACCTGTATATCACATGTCATCAGACAAATAAATAGTGTATATCTGATATCACCAGGACACATCAACAACCAATGTTAGCTAACCCAGCACTGACCTGCAGTGAGTGCCAGAACGATGGAGTTGCTGGCAGCGCCGTACTGACCAGTGATGTGGGCGTAGGCCGAGCTCAGGTAGTTTGAGTTCTTGTACAGGTCCAGCCACAGGGTGCCACTACACACATCACGTGACAACAAATAGAACATGCTTAGACCATATGTGGGGCTTTTATGTAAAGCAGCAATGCAATAATTTAATATCGTTTACAGACTTGTTAGTGAATATTAAACAAAAATACTAAATAAAACAAATATTCAATGAAAATGAGACATTCTTGCGTTGTCATCTGAAATAAATTTGACTGGAGCGTTTGAACTTCTTCATCGTTCTTAATTGTATGAATGGACTGGGTTTTCTCTAACTCAATTATTATGTGTCAACTTGTTTTGCGCCATAAGCGAAGCATGTGAGAAAAAAAAACCAAGAATGACAATGAAAGGGGGGGGGGATGTGTTAAAGAAATAGGGTTCACCATCATCAATGATTGTCTACGCTCTGGTCACTGCAATGATTGGAAAAAATTTCCTATGTGGTATTTGATGTGTGTGATCGTGTAGCCACCGTGCCTAAAATATCCCACATAAAACTTGGAGCTAACAACCACAACATGTCGTGACTCACTCGTATTCCGCCAGCCCGTGGTACATGATGGAGTAACTCCCGTCGTGGGGCGCCGTGAAGATGCCCGTGGTCGGGTTGTAGCCGTTTCCAACATTGACCCACACGCGGTCAAAGGTCACGTTGACATGCTCGGACACGTTGAGACTTTGGGTGAGACCAGCGGAGAAGGCGACCCTCGGGACGTCAGTCTGACGGACATGGCCTGCTGGGACAGGGGGGTGGGGGGGGGGGACGTGGGCACACAAAGCAAGTCATTAGAATATGGACTCAACAAAATGGCCGATATATTTGTAGCTGTGTTGGCCATTTAACGAATGAGAGGTATAGTATTACAATATGTTTACTACTACAAAAATAATGGACTTTAATGCTAAAGTATTTTCTAAGAATTCCCTGAATGTATTGAACAAAACTATAACATTAGATTTAGTGATTCCACTTTTTTTGTTGTGCAAAGTTATTGTATAATAATATTAAAATGAAATTGCAAGATTAGTTAGCAGAGCATCACATTTAGACTATTGGAATTAGTAGATCACATTTAGACTATTGGAGTTAGCAGAACATCACATTTAGATTATTGGAGTTTGGAGAGCATCACATTTAGACTATTAGAGTTAACAGAAATCCACAGTTAGATTATTGGAGTTTGCGGAACACCACAGTTAAACTATTAGACATGACAAATGATGGTAAGGACACTGAGATCACATAACTCACCAGCAGTTACAAGGCCGCCGACTAAGACTGTACAAACCACAAATAAAACTTGCAGCATTTTTTCCTTCTGAAACAAATAGTTTCACGTGTTCAGATTTAAATCACTAAATTTAATTTTAAGACAACGTTAATTAGCAATTAGTCCAAATAATTACCTAGTGCCCTAGAGATAGTGTAAACTGCAAGACACGGCGCCCTGAGTATTACAGTCAAAACATGGAATGTGTCACGGAAATGCACAAGTGGTCTAACATCAGCTATCTTTATTGGTATCTTGATTCTTTCTGACATTTTGATTCTGTAGTTCTAGAGGCCTAGAAAAGCTACATGGTTTTCTGTATTGTTTTCAGTGATTCTCACACTGTAATCAACGACATGAAATTCCACCTTTATCAAATGTTCCCAAGACTCTTCGAAGTGATAGCACTAGGATGGTAAGCGTGATATGGGACGGCGTGGTCTAGCGTTAGAGCACTAGACCAGGGGTCGGCAACCTTTTGAGACAGAAGAGCCAAAAGTTACAATTTACAAAATTTCCAAGTTTTTAAAGAGCCGCCAACATTTTTATACTATTATTATTATTAATATTATGATCTTTAATTAGGATTTGGTATATATATATATATATATATATATATATATATATATATATATATATATATATATATAGGCCTATATATATATATATATATATACATAAAACAGTGTATGTGTGTTTGTATGTGTGTCTGGTTTTTTTATGCATTACTACACCTTTCATCCGATCGCCATGAAACTTGGGAAAATTGTTGAGAATACTCCTAGGGAGGTTTGTGCACATTTTTTAAAAATTTAGCAAGGGCGGCGCCCCAGGGGGGTAGAGGTGCGATTTTTCTCTAAATACGGTAAAAAAAAAGTTGTATGCGGTTCGACACAGTTTATCCGAGTGCCATGAAACTTTGGAGAGTAGATAAAAATACTCCCGAAAAGATTGCTGCGAAAAAAAAATTAAAATTTCTTATGGGCGGCGCCCGGGTGTTGCATTTTTTGTAAATACACGTTTTGGCGCCCAGAGTTCCAGAGCGGCTAGGTTAGTACTTGGCATCCGTTAATTGGGCGTTCTGCATAGCGGGTAAGGGGTACTACTATATTCAGTGGCAAAACTGCAACAGACGCAACCGCCGGCGCCTCTTCCATTGGGTGACCCTGCGAGCACCATAGCACCTACATTGGTTTTTTTAAAGGCTGTACACTATAGACACGATGGGCAACAATACGTTTATTTTAAACAGAGCGATAGGTTATGAATACAATAGGTTGTTATAGTCGCTCACTAAATTGAATGAGGCGCTTCCTCCGGCGTCACTGCAGGGTGCGATTTGGCGCCCAGGGCTATCCCGTGAGCAATAAGCGCCTACCTTAGTTTTAAGGAGCACCCTACAATTCGATATTCGATAATTAAACCGAGCTAGGGGCTACGCAACGCCCCGGCGGTAGTGTTATCGGGTTCACGAGAGCGCCACTTACCGTCGGTGAGTGATTAACGGTGATATTACGATGAGTGATTAACTTACACTCGAGGCTTTCACACAGCACGCCATGGTGGTGGGCGCTAGTGCCCCGATAAATATGATTCAAACACAGGCATTCTTTATATTTAAATAACTTAGGTCACAAGGAAGTAGGTCTACATTGAAATATCGAGTCACTAAATATTCTAATAGAATAGCAAGTGTTTACTGTTTATATTTATTATTATATCGTTCATTACTGAATGTTGCAGACTAATACTTTTATGAGTTTTAAAAATAAAATAAATTAATTATTTATATTTGTGCATCGAGCTGAAGAGCCGCATCTTGACATCAAAAGAGCCGCATGCGGCTCGCGAGCCGCAGGTTGCCGACCCCTGCACTAGACTGCTAACCCAAAAGTCTCGAGCACGAATCCGGGTACAAGTCAGTAGAACGTCCCTAAGCCCACTGTAGCCCTAATGCTACACACTGTTATGTAACTTACTGTTACAAGTCCGCTTGTTGCCAGTACGAGGAACCTTCAATCCGTCCACTATCGCTTACTACATGTTTAAGAAATAGAACAATTCTGTGGTAGATTACAGCTGAAATGTGTATGTTGTTCTAAATCCATACTACACATTGAATTTTTATTAAGTAATTACAAGTATGTAATAATAGGGAGAGAGAGAGAGAGAGGGGATCAGTAGCGTAGGGGGGGGGGGGGGGGCGGGGGGGGGGACATATGTCCCCGGGCGCCGACCTTAGAGGGCGTAAAATGGGTTGGAAAAATAAGTTGAAAGTTTGATGGGGGGGGGGGTGCAAATCAAAATCTTGAGGGGGGGTGCTAATTGATATCTTGAGGGGTGGGGGTGCAAATCGAAAAGTTTGTCCCCGGGCGCCGGGAAGGGTCGCTACGCCTCTGGGGGGGGGATATGATAGTGGACACTGCTAACGGGGGAGGTGTCAGAAGAACCATTAACATAATACAGACCATAGTTGTTTGTATTGATTTTATTCAAACCTCAATCATATAATTTGTTGTTTTATAGACCTGAAGTGTGAATGGGGGAACAAAAAAAATGCACATTAATTTTTTTTTTAATTAACGTGTTTTCGTTAAGTTTACGTGAAAATTATGTTGTTTGATATTTTTAATATTTCCTTTCTAGTAGTCAGTTTTTTTTTCCAGGCGTCTCTACTTCTAACAGTGTCCGCCCCCCCCCCCCCCCCGGAGAAAAAAGTATGGAAGAAACACTGCTAGTAGTTGAGTTTTATTATAACACATGCTTGAAAGTTGAAGGCATCTTTGTAAACATATTGCTGTTGTTATTTTTTAAACCAAATTTAGTTTGCCTATTATCAATTAGTTGTGAGAAAATCGTGCACAGTTTAAAAATACCTGAGCTAGGTTTCGAATTGTTTTATTCTTAGTTTCCCTCTCTTAATAAGTGCGTAATACGTGTCAATGTACGTGTAAATAAGATGTACACACAATTGGAATAAAGATAAGAACAAGCAGTAAAGGAAAAATATGATAAGAAATGCGTGAGTGTGTGTACGTGTGTGTATGTGTGTAGACATAGTGGTGCTTTTTGTCCACAAGTTTTTGGTACACGGCCCTACACACACGACAGAAAATGGTGCTGGTGTTTGTTGTACTCGCTGTTTGCTGGGGGTTCCAGAGTTGTAAGTTGCCATAGTAACGATCATTTGATGAATACGCCTATGTACTTAGTTTTCTCATATTGTGTTTATTTGAAAAAAAAATTAAGATTGGCCACAAGTAAAGGTTAGTTTATTTTTAAGAAACTAAATTGATCAAGATTTAATTTGGAAAAGGTTTATCTTATTTTTTAAAAAATTAACTCGTTTTGGCAATTTATAAACTATGAAATTCATGTCGGAAAAATATAAATTAATTAAACAAATAATAAAAAAAAGGTCTACTGTAATTTGTAAACTATTTATTTTGTCTTAAAAAGTGTTGGGAAAATACAGAAGACCTTGATCAATGATATACAAACCCATGTTGAAAATTTTCAACTGTGTAAATAAAATCACGTGACCTAGCTGTCAGTATTATTTGTCCTCCACCCCACAGCTCTTGGCGCTGCCCCCCACGAGGTCGCCTTCTCCGCGGGACTGTCCCATCATGAGTCATTGGCCGCAGGGCAGAAAGTTGTCTATGATACTATTTTTAGCAACATTGGCAGCGCGTACAACCCACAGACTGGGGTCTTCACGTGTCCGCTAGTGAGTACTACAGCTGGGTTGGTTTACATACACATACAAAACTAATACAAGTAGGGTTGGTTAACATACACATACACAACTATTACAAGTAGGGTTGGTTTACATACACTTACACAACTATTACAAGTAGGGTTGGTTTACATACACTTACACAACTATTACAAGTAGGGTTGGTTTACATACACTTACACAACTATTACAAGTAGGGTTGGTTTACATACACATACACAACTATTACAAGTAGGGTTGGTTTACATACACATACAAAACTATTACAAGTAGGGTTGGTTTACATACACATACAAAACTATTACAAGTAGGGTTGGGTTACATACACATACAAAACTATTACAAGTAGAGTTGGTTAACATACACATACAAAACTATTACAAGTAGGGTTGGTTAACATACACATACAAAACTATTACAAGTAGGGTTGGTTAACAAACACATACAAAAATATTACAAGTAGGGTTAGTTTATATACACATACAAAACTATTACAAGTAGGGTTGGTTTACATACACGTACAAAACTATTACAAGTAGGGTTGGGTTACATACACGTACAAAACTATTACAAGTAGGGTTGGGTTACATACACATACAAAACTATTACAACCGGGTTGGTTTACATACACATACAAAACTATTACAAGTAGGGTTGGTTTACATACACATACAAAACTATTACAAGTAGGGTTGGTTTACATACACATACAAAACTATTACAAGTAGGGTTGGTTTACATACACATACAAAACTATTACAAGTAGGGTTGGTTTACATACACATACAAAACTATTACAAGTAGGGTTGGTTTACATACACATACAAAACTATTACAAGTAGGGTTGGTTTACATACACATACAAAACTATTACAAGTAGGGTTGGTTTACATACACATACAAAACTATTACAAGTAGGGTTGGTTTACATACACATACAAAACTATTACAAGTAGGGTTGGTTTACATACACGTACAAAACTATTACAAGTAGGGTTGGTTTACATACACGTACAAAACTATTACAAGTAGGGTTGGTTTACATACACATACAAAACTATTACAAGTAGGGTTGGTTTACATACACATACAAAACTATTACAAGTAACCCACAGACAGGCGTCTTCACGTGCCCTATTGTGAGTACTACAGCTGGGTTGGTTTACAAACACATACAAAACTACTACACAAGTATCGGGGTTTAAGCTATAGAGATACTTGTTGGGCGCCTGAGGTTCCTCCACTTAGGGCTCAAGGCCTGTATCAAGAAATCTAAGATCTCTATTTAGTTGATACATCAGAAAACGATTTTAATTATCTTGTTTTAGTATACTGCGCTCAACTTTGAAACTATGTTTATCAACATACTGCACTTAATTTATAAACTATGTTGATCAACATTCTACCCTTAATTTCTGCTCTAAAATAACTTAATGTAAAAGCTAAGTTGATTATGTGTTTTGTTCTAAATTTATGAGTTATTCAACATACTGTTATCAACTTTAAAACTATTTAGAATCAACATACTGCCCCTAAATATATCTACCTCTCTCTACCCCCCCTCTAGTCACCACCTCTCTCTACCCCCCCCCCTCTAGTCACCACCTCTCTCTACCCCACAGGCTGGACTCTACCTGTTCCAGTTCCACGCCCTGTCCCGTATCGCCGGGAACATGTGGCTGGAACTACGTCACAACTACAACTACGTCGAGTCCATCTGGGGTCACGTGGACACGGGTTTTTCAGCAGCAGGTAATGACGTCGTAGGTTTACGTTAAAATTATATCAACCTTCTAATGTGTATCTGTTGAAGAGTCAATTGCCGATAACTCCGTATGATATATCCACAGGCAACTCTGTGATCCTGAGACTGGCCAAAGATGACCAGGTCTATGTGACAACAGCTGACCAGACTGACCTGTTTGGGGCCCCTGACGAGATCTACGGCACCTTCACCGGGTTCCTCATCTCTGTTGTGTATGAAGAACTTCCGGCGTCTGTGGGGAATTGATGACATCAAATCCTACACACACAGCCGCCCTTACAGCTTTTCTAGTTGTTCTGAGTTAAACATATTTACACAGATACTGCATGTAGCACTTAAAACAAAAAGATTCCGCCTTATGCTGACAAACGTTTGTGGAAAAAAAAATTTACCTTCTATAAAGACAAATAAAATACTTCTCTCTGATTTGTTTTTTTTTTGTTCATAACTGTAATATTGAAGGTGATTTCCTCCAACACAATCTATATATATATATATATATATATATATATATATATATATATATATATATATATATATACATATATATATATCTAATATATAAAGCTCAGTTTTGTATGTAATGCATTTGTATGTCGTTGGAATTGTACGAATTTAAGTGTTAGAAAATTATCGTGCGCATTTGTCTAAATTTATGAGCTAAAAAATTACTATTGAAAGTGTTGGGAAATAATTTTCATTTTTCAAATTATAGTAATGATTGTCGGCATGTTCATTAAACACAAGTTTAAAAAAAAATATCATCTTTTACAAAAATTCTAATTATGTCTTTATTTAGTCCTATAGCACTTACTTCCCTTTGATAAATTAGGAAAAACACAATTACTTCCCTTTATAAAACCATTGCATTCCGTGAAAATAATTTACTTTTTAATTACTTTGTTTTGGTGTTGGGAAAAAAAAATAATTACATAATTAGCGGGGATTGATCAAGTGCAAATGTTGTAGGTATTTTACGGATAAGCTTGGAGTATTAAAATTGTTTATTAAATTGAAACAGGCGCGTTCGTTTAAGTGAGTGCAAAAGACTGTGAATAAGTTGGGGTACTATAGTCGTTCATTAAGCTAAAACAGGTGATTCCGCCCCGGGCGTTTATGTTCGCGTTAGTGTTTTCTTTGTGTTTAGGTGGGTTTGCGTTAGTGGTTGCGTTTTAATTTGGTTCGTTTTTGTTCTTTCTTTTTTCGTTTTTGTTTGTGTTTTTTTTGTTTGGGTTTGTATTTGTGTTTTTGGTTGGTTTTGCGTTTGGATTTGGTTTGTTTTCGTTTGCTTTTTTCGTTGATTTTTTTTTGTTGGTATTGGTGTTTGTGGTTGGGTTTGTTGTTAGGTTTTTGTTTTCGTTTGCTTTTTTGTTTGTTTTTTCTTTGTGTTTGTATTGGTGTTTGTGGGTGTGGTTGTGTTTGTTGTTAAGTTTTTGTTTTCGTTTGTATTTGTAATTGTGTTAGCGTTATGTTTGCGTTTTGTTGTTTTGGTTTTGGTTGGTTGTGGTTTGGGTGGGCAATGCCGGGTTTATGATGATTACTAAACACACAGGTAATGGTCTTTAACAGAAAGGTTTTTCACAGAAGCCAGAGCAGGGCCTGGCCGGGACGGCTAGTATATATATATAATTCTCTTCATGGAGACCATAGAAAACACCACGCAGCTTAGCCACCACCCTCAACCCCACCTGTCAGGTGAGCTGTGGTTCACCCCGAATGTTTACAATCGTAGAGCCGGGTTAGTGACGGCTATTAGGGGCAGATAATTTAGTGTTAAAAGATTTGAAACAAAGGGGAGGTAACAATTTCTGATTGATCTTTTCTTTGTCAGTAAACGCTGCTTTCACTGAGCGGGAGGGGGGGGGGGGGAGGGGGGGGGGGAGGGCGGGAGGGGGTAGTTGAATTCACAAATTATGAATTGCTGATAAATAAAACAACTAGATGTCGGCGTATATTACGTCGCGGGTCAGCTCGTTCAGTATAATCTGTGAACACGTTATGCGTCGTATGGTTCGTTTTGCCATTATTAATTTAAAGTATTGGAACTTTATTATAGTGATTTTGTAAAAACAAAATACGATTATCATTAGATTAACATAGGTCATTCATTACGAAACACACGGGCATTAAATCAATAATAATTAAATCAATCAATAATAAAAAGCTCTATAGTGAATCTTGTTCATTAGAAAACACTGATAAAAATAAAGCAAAAGGAATGTTTCACTTTTAAAAACAATATTTGATTGCGTATTGAGATAAGGAGATGGGCATGTATTTTATTTGTTGTTTTATTTGTTGTAAAGTGATTGGAAATGAAAACAGAGAGTGTGTTAAGATGAGGGCGGTGTTAAACTGAGACCTCCAACATCCTAGTTAAAATGGACCTGTGTGTTTGTAGTAATGTCTTCCTCGACCTTTAACCTAGCACAAAGTAATATCAGCTACGCTTTGTTTTACGTTGTCAATCTTTTTCAGTTTTAGTCGATATATGTGTCTATATTAGTGTCTATATGTGTTGCTGTATGTGTCGATATATGTGTACACAATGTGGGAACGATTACAAACAAAACAGATTAATGAGGTACATATGAAATACATCAGCACTAAAAACTTTTAACTTTTTTATATGTAAACAAACAGGATTCTAAATACAATTTTTCTTTAATACACTTATAGGTTCTTAATACAGAAAACGTAGTTTCCATCGATTTATTAAATTAATGAAACTTCAACATCCGACCATTCCTTGGTGAGTACCAAGTTGTAAAAGTCGGTCTTGAGAACAGCAATCGTCTATTTACACTTTCAACTTGTGTAGGGGGCGCTAGTTGACGTCACGTGGTTATGACGCGGCATAGAAGAGCAGGTAGCCAGTGAAGGTAGCGTAGACGTCATCAGGTAGACCGTACAGGATGCTGGAACCGTGGCCCGTGATGTACAGCTCATCACCTGGAGGCAGATGAGATATGGTGAAATGACGGGTGGAATTACAGGTGAAATCACAGGTGAAATCAGAGGTCAAATAACAGGTGAAATTAAAGGTGAAGTCACAGGTGAAATCACAGGTGAAATAACAGGTGAAATAACAGGTGGCATCACAGGTGAAATCACAGGTGTCATCACAGGTGAAATCACAGGTGGCATCACAGGTGAAATCACAGGTGTCATCACAGGTGAAATCACAGGTGAAATCACAGGTGGCATCACAGGTGAAATCACAGGTGAAATCACAGGTGAAATCACAGGTGAAATTACAGGTGAAATCACAGGTGGAATTACAGGTGAAATCACAGGTAGAATTACAGGTGGAATTTTAGATGGAATCACAGGTAAAATTACAGGTGAAATCACAGGTGAAATTACAGGTGAAATTAAAGGTGAAATTAAAGGTGAAATCACAGGTGAAATAACAGGTGGAACCACAGAACTGAGCTCCAATTCATAAAAACTAAATAATAAGAAAGACAGACACTGAAAGATAACCACAGTAATAAGGATACACCGTATTAATCCTACCACGAAAACAACAATTTAAATATCTGTTACTCAATGATGTTAATCGAAGCCACTTAAACATAATGTTGGCAGAGACTCTGTCCCACACGGTACTGACCTGCAGTGAGTGCCAGAACGATGGAGTTGCTGGCAGCGCCGTACTGACCAGTGATGTGGGCGTAGGCCGAGCTCAGGTAGTTTGAGTTCTTGTACAGGTCCAGCCACAGGGTGCCGCTACACATATCACGTGACAACAAATTTATTTGCGTAATAATAAACACATAACTTTTTAAAACCTCTAGAATTAATGACACTTTAACTTTAACAATATCAAGACGGACTTGCAATGATTTAATCTGCATTGCAGCGTCATTCAAACAAATTTTGCAAACTTGATTAGTAGTGTATGGCGAAATATTTAGAGAAAATCATATAATTTCTCCTTTTTAGTGCATAATTATTTAAAAGCTTGTTATTAAAACGTTTTTATAATTTTTTTAATGAAGAAAAAAGAAATAAGGCAAATAGTATTTTGACTCAAATCTCTGGAACGACACACTATTCTCTTTCAGTATTTGGGTGCTACAAACAATTGAACTCACTCGTACTCCGCCAGCCCGTGGTACATGATGGAGTAAGTCCCGTCGTGGGGCGCCGTGAAGACGCCCGTGGTCGGGTTGTAGCCGTTTCCAACGTTGACCCACACGCGGTCAAAGGTCACGTTGACATGCTCGGACACGTTGAGACTTTTGGTGAGACCAGCAGAGAAGGCGACCCTCGGGACGTCAGTCTGACGGACATGGCCTGCTGGGTCACGGGGTGGGGGGGGGGGGGGGGGTGAATTCAGGAGAATCTTGATTAGTACAGAAACATGGACATAGTCTCAAAGTGTAGGGAAAATATGGGGTTCAGTGAGTCAGTCTCAAGGGTTCAATGCCGACGATAGAACTAGCAGCCGAGACAGACGTCAGTTCAAATACAACAGCACAACATTGTAATAAAGTGCTATCAGTATCGCGATTTTTCTAAATCGTGGAACCATCGACGTCACGACATACACATATCACGAATCGTGTCAACGCCACCTATACAGGCGCGCGTTGATTGTATTTTGATGAAAATACTTTCTACTTCTATACCGTGGTCCAGCGACTTAGATTTTGAAGAAACATTAGGCCTATTTTATCTGTGTCTGTACACAAAGAGCCTCACGGCCAACACACTCACCTGCTGTAACAAGACATCCGGCCAAGACAGTAAAAACAAACATCATAATTTGAAACATTTTCTGAAACAAACATTTTCAACAAATTATCAATAAAATCTTTCATAAAATCTCTAAATATTTTAAGTAGAGATTTAAATATATAATTTAAAAAATCTTTAAAATAAATTTATTCAAGATTTGAAAGTGTATAGTTATACATGTATCTTAATTTGATAAAAATAATTTAAAAATACTTTTAAATACACTTAATTACTTAAAAGTCAAGCACACAATTTATAAATTATTCTCATACTCATTGTGTTTATGAAAATAAAAAGAATAAACTAATATAAAAATTATAATTTGTATGTACATTTAATTAGCAGCAAAAATTAATTACCGGAGCTCAGTGTACACACACAGACAATGTCAATCGTCAGCAACACAGAAAGCAGAAAAAAAAATGCTCCGTACAAAAAATATAGCCTATAAGGTCAGTGAAACCCAGATTTGTAATCTTATCTTCCTGAAAACTAGAACCAACTTGAGTCTTTATTTGGTGTTAGCACTTGACCTTAAACATTTCCAGAACTAAAAAGTTAAAAAAAAAGAAGTAGATCCTTCATCGGTTCTCAATAATTTCACCTACCCGCTCATGTCTAGTGATAGCTGAAGTAGAGTCTTCTGAAGAGTATTCGGACCTCGGCATAGCAAAGGATATTGTATTCCTCACAGAGCACTGTCACTTTAGCTTTCATCGTCTTGTGTCAGGTCCCCGCAATTTTTTTTTCTTTAGTGTTTACTGCCTAAATTGTTTGAGAACCACCGGATGAAGTCTTTTAAGGCCAGATCTCGTACTCAATATTTTAAAAAATGTTTTAACCTTTTTTAAATAACCTTGAGGCAGGTGGTTTTTTTCCCACTTTCCTTTTTCAAATTTTATTTGTACTTTTGTACCTGAAATTTTAAAAATTTTAAACTTTATTTTATTTGGAAAAATTGGAGTGAGAAAAGGGGAGGGCGGGGAAAAATTAATAAATAAGAATAATTAATGAGATGGAAGTATAAATAACAAATGGAGGAAAAATAGGTTTACATTAATGATTTGTTGATGTCTGCAATTTCTAACATTAAAACCAATAATTTTTATTTTAAAGAAAAAAAAAACAGTATAAAAAAGGGTGGGGGGGGGGGGGGGGGGCTACTACATTTTTTTTTAGTAACGGGGTAATTTTCTGTAGATTTATATATAAAGAGGGGAGAATTTGTGGTAAAAAAAAGTAATAAGTTACATTTATGTAAACACCAAACACAGCTGTTTGAGATTAAAAAGGTCATCAGAAAAAAAAAAAAAAAAAAAAAAAAAAAGCAACAACATAAAAAAACACGTCAATGAGCATCAAAGTTTCCAGCTAAGGACGTTTTTCACATTGACACGTTTATATTGTTTTTTCTCACATTTATTTTATTAAAAGAGAATAATAAGTAAGTTAAACTTTAAAAATAAATCTGTAGATAAGGGTAGGATCTGAGAAAGCGATAAGAGAAAAAATCTGGTCAGGTCAGAAGGTTTTGGTGCTAGAGTTTGTTGTCCACAAGTTTTTGGTACACGGCCCTACACACAAGACAGAAGATGATGCTGATGTTTGTTGTACTCGCTGTTTGCTGGGGATTCCAGAGTTGTGAGTTGCTTTCTGTCTAGTCTAGTCCAGAGTTGTTTTCTGTCTAGTCTAGAGTTGTGAGTTGTTTTTTGTCTAGTCCAGAGTTGTGAGTTATTTTGGCCAGTCTAGTCCAGAGTTGTTTTCTGTCTAGTCTAGAGTTGAGTTGTGAGTTGTTTTCTGTCTAGTCTAGAGTTGTGAGTTGTTTTCTGTCTGGTCTAATACAGCTTTTAATGCTTTGTGCCCGAATGTCCTAGTTGCAACCTTCAAATCATCGTTTGCAACAAAGGAAGCAATTCGATGCATATATAATAATATATATTTGTTTAGCACGGCACAAAAAAATTGACCAAATGTCCTTATTTAATAACGTTACAAAGGGCTCAAGATACATCTAAAATCTAAACATGTGTTACCTTTAGTAAAGTATACAAACACAGGTGGTTTTTCAGGGGTAGAATTGGTGTAATATTACAACAAGGATCTTAAGCATTTCTTATATCTCGTTAAGACAAACCAGAGGCGTAGCGACCCTTCCCGGCGCCCGGGGACAAACTTTTAAATTGGCGCCCCCTCAGAGGCAAATTTTCAATTTGCACCCGCTTCAAACTTTTATTTGCACCCCCCCCCCCCAACTTTCGATTCGCACCCCCCCCCCCTCAAACTATTAATAATGCAAAAATGCAGCTAAAATGACATTTTAATTTGTTTTTACAACCCATTTTGGCGCCCCCTAAGGTCGGCGCCCGGGGACATATGTACCCCCCTGCCCCCATCGCTACGCCTCTGCGTAAAAAAAACTAACTTAGTTTTTGTCTTATTCTATACCAAGTTTGAACAGTGTTTCTTCCAGACTTTTTCTCCGGGGGTGCACTTGAAATTTTCGGGGGAGGGGGGGGGGGGCGACACTGTCAAAAGTATATATTTCCTATATAAATTCCATTTCGTACGGGGGGAGGGGCGGTAGACTTTCTTCGGGGGGGGGGGGTGGTGGTGGTGGTGGTGCCCCCCCCCCCCCCCCCCCCCGAAGAGATACCTGGAAGAAACTCTGAGTTTGGATCCAATGTTTGTATAACCAAGTAGTAATGTAGCCTTGTTTGTATACAAAGTTTGTATCCAACGTTTGTAACACCTCGTGTTTCCCCAGCTCTCGGCGCTGCCCCGCAAGAGATCGCTTTCTCCGCGGGACTGTCACGTCACGAGTCACTGGCCGCGGGGAAGAAAGTTGTGTATGATACTATTTTTAGTAACGTAGGTGGCGCTTACAGCACTGCCACTGGCATCTTCACGTGCCCTACAGTGAGTACTTTCAATGGTTAATTAAGTTAATTTGGAGCCCTCAATTTTACCCCAATTTACATCACCTCACATTAGGGACAGTAGTCGAAGTAAAGATCAGGTTTGATTTCAAATGTTGAACCTTTGTTTAAAATAACTGAACCAGTAATCTCTATATAATAATAGCTAATAAAATGTACTAATTTTTAAATTTTACAATGTTTCTTGAGTATTTACATTTGTATAAATCTAATGTTTTTGAGAGTATCGCGGCCAAGTATTTGTATAACAAACACAAGACTAATTTTATACTTTTGATAAGTTTAAATGTAATGATCATATGTTTAATATCAAAGCGAGGTAGTTATTGTTCACAGACTTACATCTCTAATACAGATTATTTCCCTTTTCCAATCAGGTTCATTATTAAAACTATTGTTAAAAACCGCATTATTTTATGGTTTTACTATCCACAAAAATAAAATGAAAAATAAATATCAAATAAATGTTGTTATTATTATTACTAGAGTAACTTGCATTAGCTGTTTAAGTACCAGTTGCGGTGGTATCACCATCGATACATCATCATCAGTGTACAACAGTACATTTTCTGTCCTTAACATGTTGCTATTTTCCAGTTTCCCTACCATGTATAGCAGTACAGTTTCTGTCCTTAATGATCTTCAGTGTTCTCTTAAAGTCCCCAACCATGTACAGCATTTTAATTTTTGTTTGTCTTTAAAGTCTTGCCAAGTTCCCTAAAGTTCCCTAATGTTCCCCCCACAGCCCGGGCTCTACCTGTTCCAGTTCCACGCCCTGTCACGTAGCACGGGGAACATGTGGCTGGAACTTCACCACAACTACAACTACGTGGCCTCGATCTGGGGTCACATTGACAACGAGTACTCAGCGGCAGGTAACTCTCACGATAAGTTTATATTAACATTAAAACAAATAGAAAAAAAAACAGATCTATTAATAAGCTTTTATATGAACTGAAAATAAAAATTTAAAAATAAATAAACTAGAACTCACATATTTGACCTTCACCTTGTTTCCTTTGTCCATTTTATTCTTACTGACCCACGTATTCAACCCTCCACCAGGCAACTCTGTGATCCTGAGACTGGCCAAAGATGACCAAGTCTACGTGACAACAGCTGACCAGACTGACCTCTACGGGGCACCTGACGAGATCTACGGCACTTTCACCGGCTTCCTCATCTCTGGTATCTATGAGGAAATCCCTGTCGGAAAATAAAACGCATATACCCCCCCCCCCCCCCCCCCCCCCAAGCTTTTGTCACTAAAATTATGTTTATCCCGTGGCAACATTGATGTATCAGAACTTGATGTTTACATAATTTTTACTTGTCTATGTAAAAATAATGCATTTCAATGAATTTTAATTAAACTGAATTAAAATATTAAAATTTTGTTTGTTAAATTTAAGAATTTCATTGAAACAATCGTCTGTGGTGAAAGGTTTTGTGAACCATAAAATCGTTTGATTCTCCTAAATGATCTATAGTGCCATAAAAAGGGCGATACAAGTGAGGTTTTTGTGATGTGGGAGCAACACACACACATATTACTCAAGCCTCCCACCCCTCTCTTTTAGTATCCTTCACCATAGAACTTTCCTGAGTTCACCCAGCTTTATTAGGTACCTGACTTACTTTAGGGAAAGTAAAGACGGCTAAGCGTAGTGTTGATCACACTATCCCTTCATTTGCCGAGGTCACTGAATCATGTGAACTCTACTTGACCTGCTTCGCGGACCACTAGATTGGAAAGGGTACTTTATCTTTGCTGTTCATATGTGTTCAATGTAAAAGTAAACAGTAAAATATCAAAATTTGAGACGTATTTTTTTCTTCAGAAATTAGACGTTTTAATAATTTCATACATTTTACAAACAAGTTATACAGCAGATATTTTTTTTGCGGTTGACACAAACACGTTCAGTGTAGTGGAAAATTTCGGCCCCACCTTTACAAAAGATTTTTAAATTTCTTGAGTGAACTCCCTTGTTCAAATATGTTCACTTTGTACAGAATTTAACCAAAAATATATTCAACCAAAATAGATTATACATTAAATCTAATACTCAGTAGCGTAGCGAGGGGGGGGGGGCGGTGTTGGAAAAATAAATTGAAAGGTTGAGGAGGGTGCAAATCGAAAAGTTTGTCCCCGGGCGCCGGGAAGGGTCGCTACGCCTCTGCTAATACTATTAAGCTAATAAATTTTTCATTTTCAATACCAATCCCTTAGGTAGGATTAAATTTTGATTAAAACAATTATTAGTATCAATTAGCAATTGTTGTTAATTGTTATCTAATAAGTCAATTATCGTGGATCAATTAGCATGCAAAGATACTAACGATCGCAAGCGGCACATAAGGCAGAAAAAAGATAGACGTTGAAAATGATATTTTGTTACAGTAAATGGGATATTAGTAATGTCATATTTTAATGCAAGAGAGGATTAACTTCTACTGTGTTTATTTATTGTTATTTTTTGACACCGAAAAAATTAAATTAAAGTTAAATCCGAAAAGAATTCGGTCGTTCAATGGTTATCAACCTTGGTACAGCAAGGACATCAGTTGTACCTGAACTATCTAGCCTATGTAGCGTAGCGATCCCTCCCGGCGCCCGGGGACAAACTTTCAATTTGGCGCCCCCCCCCTTATATTTTTTAAAATTTTATAATTTAAAATAGTAGCTAAAATGAGCTAAGGTCGGCGCCCGGGGACATATGTACACCCCCCCCCCCCCGTCGCTACGCCTCTGCTGTAGACCAATCTTTTTACGATGCTGGTAGAGATTGTATGATGTTGCTTCGTGCTGTATCCCCTCTGTAGATCTGTTTTATTTGTCACTGCTGTTTGCAGAGGCGTAGCGACCCTCCACGGCGCCTGGGGACAAACTTTCGATTTGCACCCCCACTCAGACTTTCGATTTGCACCCCCCCCCCCCTTAAACTTTCGATTTACACCCCCTTCACGCTTTCAATTTATTTTTCCAACCCATTTTGGCGCCCCCTAAGGTCGGCGCCCGGAGACATATGTCCCCCCCCCCCCCTCGCTACGCCTCTGGCTGTTTGCTGTTGTCTACGTCACTGCTCTGTATGTGACCCGATGACATGTTTTACACAAATTGTGTCGCTGTACATTTCAAGCTCCAATGCATCGTGGATATATATATGTTACGGTCAAAGCCCGAAGTCGGCCAATGCTAGGATTGGCCGGCCAATCCGCGCATTGGCCAATATCGCCTCCCATAGGTCGGTCAAAGTCCGAAACTTTGCTTGATTTCGGCCTTTGGCCGGCCAATCCGCAGACTGGCCATGGTGGACCGGTCAAAGTCTGAAATAGCTCTTGATTTCGGCCTTTGGCCGGCCAGTCCGCGGACTGGCCATGTTGGACCGGCCAAAGTCTTAATTAGAAGATCATCTGGCTAGGGACGACCGGCCAAAGTTTGAATTAGAAGATCATGAGCAGATTTTGGGTTTTTTTTTATGCCGTAAGGATCATGAAATTAAGTCTTTATTGATTATTAATTAAAGTAAATGACAGAAGCATTCAATTTTTTTATTGACCTATAGTCTCAATCTATCAATATCATCATTTGTTACAACAAGTTGAACTTTTATGGCATTTAGAATTACATAGCAGCTTGTTATTTTTAAACTTGCAGCGATTTGTTGTGCACTTAGTTGTGCAATTGCAGCGAGTGTAGCCTTGGCCCCCAGTCAATGATTGTGAAGATGCGATGGTTCGTAGTGATTTTTCCTCAGTGCCAACTGACGACAATAAGAGCAGTTTTTCGTGAAGAATTGAAAACTCACTTTTAGCATACAGTTGTTTTAGAACACCATGTGCCGTTCCTAATTTGTAGAAACCGCCCTCGACGCTCATGACAACTGCAATCACGCTTCGGGGATCACCGTGACCTCTGTCAACATCTGGAAAACGGATGCGTACATTGTCACCCACTTCACCATCTTTAAATTTTGTATTTGATGTTATAAGCATCTTAGCACCTTGAGTTTGCAAGCCAGTATGAGCTGCTGATCTGTGTTCCATGATGTCTTGTTTGTTGTAACACAATCTGCAGGTAATGTTCCCTCCGTACCCTTCGTCTGCTTCATTGGGTATTCCACAAATAGCATGGACATCGTTGCCACAGGATCCAAAAGAATGAGCTGCACTACAATGTTTTTCACAAACTATACAGAATCTGTTGGCCACATAATTGTCACGCAACTGGTCTGGACGTTCCGCCACGGCAGTAGATGTGTTAGCTGAGGATGTCGTTGCATTTATGGCAACCTCCATTTCTTGTTCAATGTTCTCAAGATCTTCCTCAGTAACTATTTTATCGAGAGCCCATATATGGAAACTAACATGGATTTACATTTTTTTTCTTTTGACAGCCATCTGCTATGTCTGTCTCATGGTCTGACGGCCCTTTTGATCCATGTCGCCTTGCATATAGAATGCTATATAAACAAGAGCTAAACAATACGTTACTCTCAACGAAAACGCACCCAGAATAATGAAAATGCGATCTTAGTCTAGATAGAACATTGGCCAGGACATACCGGCCAGTGCGCGCATTGGCCGGCCAATGTACAAAATACGCTGTCAAGTTTAAGCGCTTCGGACTTTGGCCAGTACGTCCCGGCCAGTGCGCGCATTGGCCGGCCAATGTACGAAATACGATCTTAGTGCTAAGTTCTTCGGGCTTTGGCCAAGAGAGCCGGCCAATGTGCGGATTGGCCGGCCAATCCTAGCATTGGCCGCACTTCGGGCTTTGACCGTAACATATATATATATATATATATATATATATATATATATATATATATAATGGCAAGCAATTATAACCGACTCAAAGTATAAAAATAAAAGTAAAAAATATTTTCCAAGCACGTGGCATCTATATATATATATATAATTCTCTTCTGGGAGACGCTAGAAAACAAGCTGCAAGCGTATCCTTGCAGTCCCCTCTCTTTCTCTCTATCACTATCACTACCACCCCCACCCCACCCCCACTTGGTCTGGTGAGTTGTGGTCAAGCGAAATATTTACAAATCGTAGAGCCGGGTTTAGTGACGGCTATTAGGGGCAGATAATTTAGGTTGAAACGATTTTAAACCTACAGGAAGTAACTAAGAGGAGGCTACTTTCACGGGGGGGGGGGGGGGGGGGGGGGGGGGGTTGTAGGGTCGGGGTTAGGGGAAAGGGGGGGTAGTGTTTTAAAGCAAATATTTTCAGTGGCAGCATTGGTACTGTCGAATTCACATATTATAAATTATGAAAAGTATAAGTAAAACAACTAAATAGCGGCGTATGATACGCCGCGGGTCGGCTCGTATGTTATATTACTGCTGGACATGTTTCGGCCTACTTTGTACTTTTTTGATCTAGATCTTAGAGACTACATTTGACAATTTAGCGAACATATTTTTTGCATAGAAAATTGTTTGAATTTATGAAATGGGATCTAGGTCGAGGGGAAGATGAGTTACTTAAGTTTTAATTGTTTTGACTATATGAAACTTTAAAGAGCTAGAGGGTCATCCATAAATGACGTCACGCTTTTTTGGACGATTTTTACCTCGCCCCCCTCCCCTCCGTCACACGTCGTCACAAAAAGCCAGACCCCCCCCCTAAAATGACGTCACACCTCAACCTACAAACCCCCTCAAAATTGCAGTTGAATTTTTTTTAAACATCGATATTTTTCCAAAATCTTGTCTAAACTATTACAATTTATTAAAACAGTTATCTAAAACGCGAAATAACGTCTAAAAATCGTTTTCTAACATTGCTTTTATATAATGTAAAAGTGTGACGTCGCAACATCTGAACCCTCCCCCCCCCCCTCCCCCTCATCACACATCGTCACAAAATTACGGACCCCCCCTCCCCCCTACGAGTGTGACGTAATTTATGGATGAAGAAACAACAATTTTACTCTCTGGCTAGTTGATATAAATACCATCTACATTTACAACAAACGATTACTGAATATTAGGATTCTAATAGACAGAGCGACATTTGAATAGCTTCCTCACTTGGTATTTGTAATTTGTTGTCCACTATATATTTCTAGCAACCGATATTGTCTTTTGATTCGTATAAAAAGTAATTTCTTCATCGCGGTACAAGTTACTATATAGGTCATCATAATAAGATATCTTTTATTGAGGTTGTAGCGTTGGAATATAAAAGTTTCTATAATGATAGAAAGACACATCTGCATTTTTTTTCTTGCAACGTGTTTTAATTTAAAAAAAAAAGTAATAAAACCATGTAAGCAACAATTATTCTACTGATAAGACTAGAATCTGAGAAAGCGATAAGAAAAAAATCTGGCCAGGTCAGAAAGTTTTGGTGCTAGAGTTTGTTGTCCACAAGTTTTTGGTACACGGCCCTACACACAAGACAGAAGATGATGCTGATGTTTGTGGTACTCGCTGTTTGCTGGGGGTTCCAGAGTTGTGAGTTTTATTCTGTCTGATACAGTTTGTGTTATTCTTCATGTATTACTGTAGTGTTGTTATTATTAGCGTGTATCTTTAACAACAACTATGCTTAAATCAAGATGCTTTCAAATTTTTTTTTAAAGTTGTTAATCAGACCAAGGCCATTTTTCGTTTAGTTTAATCGTTCTTTCGTGGTGTTTATGTATTTGGTTTGTTTAGAGAAATCACGTCTTATTTATATATGTTTTACTAGACCAAATATCTTTGTCTTATGAAGCTGGTAACTGTATAGACATACATAAAGGTTTGTTGTGAATATGAAAACTAAATAAATTTCTGTTATACCTAACGAGTTTGTGAATTATAACAATCATGTTCGTATCCAATGTATCTATCAGCTAGTAGTAGTGAAACCCTGTTTGTTTACAAACCAAGTTTGAATCCCACGTTTGTAACACCTCGTGTTTCCCCAGCTCTCGGCGCTGCCCCGCAAGAGATCGCTTTCTCCGCGGGACTGTCCCATCACGAGTCACTGGCCGCGGGAAACAAAGTTGTGTATGATACTATTTTTAGTAACATAGGTGGCGCTTACAGCTCAACCACTGGCATCTTTACGTGCCCTACGGTGAGTAATTGTATGCGAAATAATTAAGTTAATTAATTTACAAAAATACACAGCAACACAACTATATCACTAACTTGTAAGGAAATAACTAGGAATGCCAACCAAAAAGTCTCGAGTTGGGATCCCAGACGACTCCGAGTTACCCAGCTCTGATGGATACCAAACTAAAGGCGCCTAGGTACAGAACTGACCACACTATCTACTTTATCTACTGAGGCCAAAGAAACTGATCAACAGTATTTAAATGTTCCACAAGATAACTAAAGTTTTAGCATATCACGAAACAAAATACCAAACACAACAAAAGAAAAATTGTGGACAAAATCACACATGTTCTTTAATATTTGCTTATTGACTTAGAAAATGTATTTCTTATTATTATATAACCAAGGGATGTAATTCCATTTCGCAGAGTTCATTTGTGGTATAAATTATTTCCCTTGTCGAAAAAACAATATGGCAAACTACACAATTATTTCCCTTGTCGAAAAAACAATATGGCAAACTACACAACAATCCCAATATTATTAAACAATTAGTACGACTCAATAAGCGGCAGAAGTAACAGTTTACATTTTTCATTAATTTAAAATACTAACTTTATTTTATTATTATTATTATTAGTGTTGTTATTATTATTATTTCAGTGTTCTTTCTCTTTATTATTATTTTTATCGTCTTTATAACTAGCATCCGTAATTCACATACCATACAGTACAGCAGTTCAATTTCTGTCCTTAAAATTTTGCACTGTTACCTTTGGTCCATGTCCCTTCAAATACCTTTAACATGTACATCGCTACAATTTCCTGCCCCTTAACATTTTGCAATGTCCCCTAATGTTCCCTAATGTTCCCCCGTGACCTCTCCACAGCCCGGGCTCTACCTGTTCCAGTTCCACGCCCTGTCACGTAGCACGGGGAACATGTGGCTGGAACTTCACCACAACTACAACTACGTGGCCTCGATCTGGGGTCATATTGACAACGAGTACTCAGCGGCAGGTAACTATGTCGTTAATTTAGTTACACACACACAGACACACAAACACTGACACAGTGAAACAGAAACAGACACACACACACATATATATATATATATATATATATATATATATATATATATATATATATATATATATATATATATATATATATATATATATATATATATATATATATATATATATATATATACACACGTACCGCAATGTGATTGACCATTGGTCGCCTTTTATGACCTGTTGTCCCCTGCCATTCCCTTAATATTAAAGTTGATTTTATGCTATCTTTATACCGTTTCCTTTGCCAGTTTTTATTCTAACTGCTACACGTATAAAACCCTCCACCAGGCAACTCTGTGATCCTGAGACTGGCCAAAGACGACCAGGTATACGTGACAACAGCTGACCAGACTGACCTCTACGGGGCACCTGACGAGATCTACGGTACCTTCACCGGGTTCCTCATCTCTGGTATCTATGAGGAGTTCCCTGCAGTTGTGGGGAAATGAGAGGTCAAGGTGATGACCCAGGTGCCGCCACTGGTCACGTGATAATCTTTGATGTTGCGGCGCAATGGACGGTTACATTCGTTGATGTAGAAACATTGATGTAAATTATTTGAAATTAAACTCAAGTTTAGCATTGTATACCACTCAACATTTGTTTGTGTAATATTTCAGACCATTCCACTGCTGTGAACTATTGTGTGAAATGAAAACAATCAATGAGCTCTGTCTTCTCTAAAGCCTGGGGTGTCAGTGACGTCAGAATAGGGGAGTGGGGGAGGGTTGGCGTGAAAGAGGGTAGACAGAGAGAACTGAATTAAATTGTCCACATCACTTCATTTGTGAATTTTCTGCATCATCATACAAGTTTTAAAATAATAAACTTAAAGAATTAGTTTATTGCACCATTCAAAATTATTTTCTAGGTATATTGGTTTCACCCATTTGAACTGAGAAAAGTCGCCCCCCCCCCCCCCTAAATGTCATAACACACACGCACAGATAGGCCTATTTATACTATAGCCTACCTAAATGGGGATATTTTTTAATATACGACAATGTTGTTAAACAATATAATAAGTCTATGTTGGTGTAAAGACAAATTGTGCACCGTTGGGTTCGTATCTCGAATCAATTTTTTTAGTGCACATTATGGTTTCATTATTCCAGCTGTTGTAAGTTGGAACGTTCGTAACCCGGGTCGAACTTGGCCTGCCCTTAAGAAAACGTAAACTTTGACCCGATTAAAATCTCGAACCCTCTGCTTTAATTCTATTTCACTGAGGGCGGGGTAGGTAAACACAGAACTGGGTCAAACACAACACCACACGCCTGCCACTTTGATCTATACACCAGCAGATTTTCCAGACGTTTTTATCCACTCGACTGTTGTTCAAGGGACTACGGCTTTGTGTGTTTGTGTGTTGTTTAGGGAACTTATTCATGCGGAGTGTGTTACTAAATATAGACTGTACGAATTCTGATAGATACCTAATAGTTTTGGTGAAGTTAAATCCATCGAACCGTGTCTATTGTTAACACACATATATACTTAAATGTTATATATTAGTCGTTATTTTACTGTTGTGAGCGAAAAGTTAAGGAATAATCGTGTTTTGTTCGTGTCCTACAAACCAGTTGACGAGAAGTCCTATTTATTAGGGGCAGATCTGTTCGTGTTGACGATATCCAATAAACATCAAGACGGGTTGAAAGGTGAAACAAACTCAAACAGTAAATAAAACTGATAAACGTTTTTATCAGATAACTAATGTTTTAGTTAAATGGTCAGATGAAACTTTGTACAAGTTATAGCTAAATACAAACAGCCCATTTCAGTTTTAAAGAAATTTATTTCAATTTTTATTTAATTAATAATAATCACATTAAAATTACGAACTTAATATTTAATACCTAGCTTTTTGATATATATTAATTAGTTTGGCAAAGATAGAATCCCTATTCTCTCCCTGTTTCCAGTTTATATTTTTAAATATCTGATTTCTATTCATCGCTTTTCATATATTTTGTTATATTCAGTTTGATTTTGGATGTAGTTTCAGAAACAAAGGCTAAATTCTACCGGTTACACACATACAACTTGACAATACATCGATTCCAGATTTCCTTACACTAAGACAGAAATATGTCGAAGTTTAAAGCCTTGGGGCTGCTGTTTCTCATCTCTGTCTTGTCAATGTTAGCGGCTGTCTTCTGGATGAACTTTGACCCCAAGAAACCAGGGGCGTATGCTTTCGTCAACGCACGCTCCCCGCTCTCTAAGAGAGGGAGGGAGTCAGATTTCAACAACGCGTTCAGAAACTGTTCATCGAAAAACGAAACTAGCGAAAAATGCAAGGGAGCTACTGTTCAAAGTTTAGCAGAGGCCTCTACACCAAATTCTCACACGGTTAAACTCTCTACCCCAGCAAGTACAGGGGTCAAATCTTTAAATTTTGTTGCTACAAATAGTTCGGGGATTCCCGTTAAAAACAAAACAATAATACAAAATAACTTCAACGACCCGTTTTTTAAAATAAAACAGAAGAGGAAAGCCGGACTCCCCGTGTCTATCAGCACCATCAACATGTTCACGTGGCTGTTGAAACACATGGAACTGTCAGAGGAGTGTATGGGCAAGATGTGTGTGTTAACACAAGGAAACATCACAGAGAACACAGACGTTGTTGTCGTGCTAGGCAACGCCTTGCCGGAGAACAGCAAGCCGGCAAGGTGGCCGGGACAGTTGTATGTGTACCTGGACAGAGAACCTCCGAGCATAAGTCTGACATACAGCTGTGTGAGGAAAGGTAAGGCTAGCATACATGTACAGGTGTGTGAGGATAGGTAAGGCTAGCATACATGTACAGGTGTGTGAGGATAGGTAAGGCTAGCATACATGTACAGGTGTGTGAGGATAGGTAAGGCTACCTTATATGTATAGGTGTGTGAGGAAAGGTAAGGCTACCTTATATGTACAGGTGTGTGAGGAAAGGTAAGACTACCTCATGTGTACAGGTGTGTGAGGAAAGGTAAGGTGACCATACATGTACAGGTGTGTGAGGAAAGGTAAGGCTACCTTATATGTACAGGTGTGTGAGGAAAGGTAAGACTACCTCATGTGTACAGGTGTGTGAGGAAAGGTAAGGCTACCTTATATGTACAGGTGTGTGAGGAAAGGTAAGGCTACCTTATATGTACAGGTGTGTGAGGAAAGGTAAGGCTACCTTATATGTACAGGTGTGTGAGGAAAGGTAAGGCTAGCATACATGTACAGGTGTGTGAGGATAGGTAAGGCTACCTTATATGTATAGGTGTGTGAGGAAAGGTAAGACTACCTTATATGTACAGGTGTGTGAGGAAAGGTAAGACTACCTCATGTGTACAGGTGTGTGAGGAAAGGTAAGGTGACCATACATGTACAGGTGTGTGAGGAAAGGTAAGACTACCTTATATGTACAGGTGTGTGAGGAAAGGTAAGGCTACCTTATATGTACAGGTGTGTGAGGAAAGGTAAGGCTAGCATACATGTACAGGTGTGTGAGGATAGGTAAGGCTACCTTATATGTACAGGTGTGTGAGGAAAGGTAAGGTTATCATAATTCTACATGTATTTGAGGAAAGGTAAGGCTACCATAATTCTACTGGTGTTTGAGGAAAGTTAAGGCTACCATAATTCTACAGCTGTGTTATGAAAGTTAAGGCTATCATAATTCTACAGGTGTTTGAAGAAAGGTAAGGCTACCATAATTCTACTGGTGTTTGAGGAAAGTTAAGGCTATCATAATTCTAGAGGTATTTGAGGAAAGGTAAGACTACCATATAGGCCTATTGACACCATAACATCCGTACTTTTTACGTCATTACTACGTACGTTACAATTCATTAACGTCACGTTTTCAAATCATCTTGTATAATTAGCAAACGTTAAAATAATTATAGTAACCACATTATTGACAGGATAACTGAACAGCTGTATAATAAAACCCCGTACATATGTGTACACCCTCACACGTGTTGTACAACTCGGTACACATCTACACATGTCAACACGACTATTAATGCTGTAACCATGGTAACGTTTTAATCTGTATGTAATCTTGTTATGCCACTGTCACAGAGAATTCAAAATGGCGGTACGAGTTCAACCTGACCAGCACCTATGTGACGTCATCTGATGTCCCCTGGCCGTATCAAACATTCAGGAAGATCAGCTACAAGTCTGCCGTTGATTTCAGTAAGTGATTTGATCACATTTAAGTAAAATATGGTTGATTTAGTGGTATGAAAACGTTTAATCAAGGAATGATTGATTCTGTTATTTAATCACTTCTAATTAAGGTGTAAATTAGTGCCTTGACTACATTTAATACATGGATGTTGTCGGCTTGAGAATGAAGCAGATATAGGCAACGATAGATTTTGATAAGTGACTTGACTAAATAGACATAATCTATTGATTTCAGCGACTACATTGTGCATATGTTTAGATATTACCACCTTTTATATGACGTGTTATTAGAGTTATATCCCTTGAGTTCCCTTCATGCTTGTACATGGCTCTGTGAAGTTGAGTACAGAACTCCAAGTCTCGAGTTCGAATACGGGTCGCCTAGTCAGTAGAACTTTCCTGAGTCCACCCAGCTCTGACGGGCAATAACTCATGTTAGGCCTGGGAATAGTGCTGGCCACACTATCCCTTCATATGCTGAGGTCACAGAAACAAGTGAACTGTACTTCACTTGCCCCATAAACCACCAGGTTTGAAAGGGAACTTTACTTTTTACTTACGAAACTCCAACAGTGAACACGGGCCCACGTTAGTGTGTTGCATTATAAAATTATTGATAGAAAAGCGAACATTATAACATCATTAAAGTTAGGCCCAACATTCCTCACTGGCTTACTTTATAGCTGTACCTCCTTTATCGCTGAGTATAGTGGTATGTTTAAATGTTACCCTTGTGATTTTACGAGTTAGTGTTTACATATCTGGGTACGTCTAATCGTTATCTGGGTAATGAGATGATGCTTTCATGTTTGTGTCAGCGGGCTACCAACTATGGCGTCGCACGTATTATTTGTTCAGATTTGCATAAAGATCATGGTTGTATGTGTAGGCTTAAGTCAAATAGTTTCTTGAGTTCATGACACAAATAGCTGACATCAAGCTTTGTGTTGAATTATTAATGTACAACTTCATCCTAAAGATTATAATACAAAAGGTATTTTTAGATGTTTAAAATACTAATTTTAAACAGACTATTTTAAATAAACGTGTATGCCGATTTCCGACAAAATTGTTAGTATAAAAGTTAAGCGGTATTGTGGTCAGTCACCTTTAACTTTTGACCTGTGCCAGTTTCAATCAGACCTGGGATGACCTATGCATGTCCAAATATACTCACAATTAGTAGCCTACACACATCCAGATGAGCTACTCACTCTTAGTACACACATCCAGTTTAACTACCGTTAGCATTGTCACCTGACCTCTCCGTAATAATGTGTACACTGATAGTAGTTTACAGTTCAGCTGAGTTTATTAAAATGTTAATTAATTGTACACCAATTAATTAATCACTGACCATTTTCTTCTTCCCCAGTTGAAGTGGCCAAAAGAAAAACTAAAACAGCTGTGTGGCTTGTCAGTAGCTGTACGTCCCAATCTAACCGTGGTCAGTACGTCAAGGAGATGCAGGTAAGTCTATGGTCAGTAACTGTACGTCCCAATCTAACCGTGGTCAGTACGTCAAGGAGATGCAGGTAAGTCTATGGTCAGTAGCTGTACGTCCCAATCTAACTGTGGTCAGTACGTCAAGGAGATGCAGATAAGTCTATGGTCAGTAGCTGTACGTCCCAATCTAACCGTGGTCAGTATGTCAAGGAGATGCAGGTAAGTCTATGGTCAGTAGCTGTACGTCCCAATCTAACCGTGGTCAGTATGTCAAGGAGATGCAGGTAAGTCTATGGTCAGTAGCTGTACGTCCCAATCTAACCGTGGTCAGTATGTCAAGGAGATGCAGGTAAGTCTATGGTCAGTAGCTGTACGTCCCAATCTAACCGTGGTCAGTATGTCAAGGAGATGCAGGTAAGTCTATGGTCAGTAGCTGTACGTCCCAATCTAACCGTGGTCAGTATGTCAAGGAGATGCAGGTAAGTCTATGGTCAGTAGCTGTACGTCCCAATCTAACCGTGGTCAGTATGTCAAGGAGATGCAGGTAAGTCTATGGTCAGTAGCTGTACGTCCCAATCTAACTGTGGTCAGTATGTCAAGGAGATGCAGGTAAGTCTATGGTCAGTAGCTGTACGTCCCAATCTAACCGTGGTCAGTATGTCAAGGAGATGCAGGTAAGTCTATGATCAGTAGCTGTACGTCCCAATCTAACCGTGGTCAGTATGTCAAGGAGATGCAGGTAAGTCTATGGTCAGTAGCTGTACGTCCCAATCTAACCGTGGTCAGTATGTCAAGGAGATGCAGGTAAGTCTATGGTCAGTGGCTGTACGTCCCAATCTAACCGTGGTCAGTACGTCAAGGAGATGCAGGTAAGTCTATGGTCAGTATGTCAAAGAGATGCAGGTAAGTCTATGGTCAGTAGCATACGTCTAATCTAACTGTGGTCAAGGAGATGCAGGTAAGTCTATGTAGCAGAGAAAATGGGAAGACATTTATCATAGACGATCGGCTTTAATTGACTGTAAATCCAAATTACACAACTGTGGTTGGTAGATGTAATGTAGAAAACGAAAAGCGATAAACGTTTTAAATATTATTTTGTATCTTAGTTCTACAGAAATAAATTTGTGTCCATTCTACAGAAATACATTGACTATTTGTCTTACAGAAATACATTGACTATTTGTCTTACAGAAATACATTGACTATTTGTCTTACAGAAATACATTGACTATTTGTCTTACAGAAATACATTGACTATTTGTCTTACAGAAATACATTGACTATTTGTCTTACAGAAATACATTGACTATTTGTCCATCCTACAGAAATACATTGACCATTTTTCCCCTATAGAAATACATTGACCATTTCTCCTGGAGAAATGCATTGACTATTTGTCCATCCTTCAGAAATACAATACCTTGACCACTTGTCCATCCTACATAAATACATTGACCATTTGTCCTACAAAAATCCATTGACCATTTGTCCATCCTATAGAAATACATTGCCCATTTGTCTTAAAAAATACACTGACCATTTGTCCATCCTACTGAAATACATTGACCATTTGTCCTAAAGAAATACATTAACCATTTGTCCATCCTATAGAAATACATTGACGTGGACATCTACGGCCGCTGCGGTAACCAGAGCGCCTGTAAGCGAGGCGGGACCCTGACCTGCATGTCTGAACTCCTCTCCCAATACAGCTTCTACCTGGCCTTCGAGAACTCCATGTGTGTCGACTACGTCACAGAGAAATCCTCCAAACTCTACATCGACAAGAACTACATCGTACCCGTTGTAAGAGGTGGGCCGGGGTACGATACTCTCCTACCCAAAGACAGTTTTATCGACGCGGCCAAGTTCCAAACTCCCAGAGACTTGGCGCTGTATTTAAAATCTCTGAAGACAGATCACGTGACCTACAGTGAGTACCTGAGGAAGAAGGAGGAGTACAGATTCACGTACCCCGAGAACGAGTTTTGCGCCATCTGTCGGGCGGTGACCACCGAGAGTGTCCAGCCCAAACGTTACGATATTTTAAACTGGCTACAGGGACAGTGTACACCGCCTGGGAAAATTACGTGACGTCACTCTATGACGTAGTGGGTGGACTTTTGACAGTATTAGTTTAAGGATTTACAATGTTAAAAAATATTGAAAAATATTGAAAAAATATTAAAAATAATCAATACACAAGTCTCAACATTAAATTATAAGATAAATTTATTAAATTGTCGTTAGTTTTAGCTTTAAAAATATAATTTTGTTATGTATTTACGTTTTACACATGATCACAAAATCTATTGACTCATGATTATAAAATGTATTGGTACGAGATCATAAAATGTATTGGTACATGATCAAAACAAATATTGGCACATGATCACAAAATCTGTTTAGCTCGTCGTGTTGTATGTAACAGTAAGAAAACTATAATAAAATATAAAAGGAAAGCAGGTTTTTTTCCCCAGACAATCTTAACTGGGAGGGTAGCGCTATTGAAATTCCAAGAACTGGTACACACACACACACAGTGTAACTCTAAACCATCCATAGACACCTTCATGAACAAAACATTCACTGGCTCAGGGTCATCTATGGTTGGAGGAGTAAGCCGTTTGACTGCTCCACCAGTATTATTATTAGTAAAGTTAAAGCTTTAGGTTTTTTAGCTGCAACTTAGCATTATGGAACCAATTAGAAAATTTGCTTCCTGCTGATAGTGTCTTAGCCAAGTTAATGTGTGTTTGTGTGTGGGTGTTGTGTGTGGGTGTATGTGTTTGTGTGTGTGGAAAGAGGAATGTTGTGTGTATAGTGCGCATTAACAAATAAAGGATAATGTAAATAAAAGCCTGACATATATTCAAGCATTCTTTGATTTTTAAAAAAAAAAATGCCACCCCCCTCTCCCCAACAATATATTTTCCCTGCAGTAAAATGTCCGACGTTCAAGCAAATTGAACACACGAACAGAAAACCTGAAGGCCTACAACATTACCAATATATCTAAGAATACATGCCTAAGATACAGTATACATTATTTAAATTACAGTTTAAAATTTCGGGATTTTCGTTCTAATATCAACGCGCACCAAAGGTACGAAATGTAATACGCTTAAACAATCTAAATCAACACACATTCTCCACCCATCCCATTATATGCAACTTCAGGCAAGAAGACAGGCCACAAGTACGAATCTAAAATCAGAAAGTGCCTAAATCTATGTATAACTCACATTATCCAACACCATTAAAATGTGAAATTATTTTTAGCAAAACTTGAAATGGCAGTGGAGTTGAAAGTTAGGCACAGCGACCCCGCGCGTCAGTTGACACAGTCATGCGTGCAGTCGGTGTTCAGTCAACCGCGACGTTGTGTAGTTACCAACAGAGTTATCAAACCTAGACCAACATAGCGCCGCCCCACCCAGATGGTGTTAGAGGTACCACTTCAAGGGAAAGTCTACCACATATCAATCTATCATCATATCCGGAGGTAGGGTCTGTGTTTCTTTCATGTGAAGTAGAATATCCGCTGATAGACAAACACGGATCGAGGGGATGGTGTGCAAATAGAACGGTTAGTGTGATGTCCTTTTTTTTGGCTGTGTCTGAAGTGTAATGTAATTTTATCCTCGCACATAGCTGTGTTATACAGCGCAGAAAATTTCCCATCTACTTTGTGCTTGCACGTAATACACGCCGTGTAAATTCTTGGGTCCATATCAGATGACATGATGCACTGTTTAATTTAATGTTAATACATTTCTACAGTTTAGTTTTCTGAGTAGTTTTTCTTTAGTTCAATTGAAACTATTAAAATTGATACATTTAACATTCTAATAATTTTAATATATTTGTTAGCAAATAAACATAGTTTTTTTTAGTTAAGCGTTTAAGTTTCTATTTACATAATACATAATTAAAAGCATGTTCTAATTACAAACATTTTGAAATGAACTAAATCAGGAAATCCAATATATTCTGCTCATTACTATAAATATTTGTATTCGTGTTATCCCACTGTTTTTTTTTGTTATACATGTGCCGCGTATAAAATGATATTTTAAAATATCGCAATAATCCCCACCCCACGACAAAATTGAGTTGACAAACAGGCCCCCAAAAGTAGAACCCAGTCATTATTGATCTAACCCAAACAACAACCGACATTGAAAACTCTACGGTTTTCGACTGCTGTATGTCCCACAATTTAACCCCTAAAATAGAACTTTCCAAAGCATTGTCCCCAGACATCTATCTTCCAAACAAAATGACTCCCGATTATAGTGCTCCCGACTTTAAGACTCACACATTTAAAGCTGCCGAAAGTTACTGACAACTGACATTAACTTATTCTGTTTTTTTTATAGATTCTTGTGAAAATTTAAAAAGGGGACAAAATCGGCAAAAAATAGCATTATTAAGCAATTAACGGGATTCGTTCGCCGGATATAGGGCTAAACTACAACAAGCCAAACTAATTTTTGATGTGGATTTGTTCAAACACAGACCTAACTACAAAAATCAACGTAACAATTGATGTGGATTTGTTCAACCAACACTGACCTAACTACAACAAGCCAATGTGACAATTGATGTGGATTTGTTCAAAAAACACATACCTATCTACAACAAGCCAACGTAATTCTTGATGTGGATTTGTTCAACCAACACTGACCTAACTACAACAAGCCAACGTAACAATTGATGTGGATTTGTTCAAACAACACATACCTATCTACAACAAGCCAACGTAACAATTGATGTGGATTTGTTCAAACAACACATACCCATCTACAACAAGCCAACCATCGGAGTGGACACTTTAAGCCATGTCTAAGTTTACTCTCCTTGTCTTCTTATTTCTCGTGTCGTGTGTGTTTATCTTCTACGCCGCGATGCGACTCAACAACCAAGTCCACACCAACATCAAACGAATGCTGGATGGCCCTGATGATACATTGCCTGACACAGACACACCTAGACACGACACACTGTCACACACAGACACACCTAGACACGACACACTGTCACACACAGACACATCTAGACACGACACACTGTCACACACCAACATCAAACGAATGCTGGATAGCCCTGTCGACACACCTAAACACGACACACTCTCAAACGCTGAAGACACACACGTCGAGAGTATACCAATAAAATACAATCAGTCTCTTTCTAAAAATAGTTCGGGAATCCCCCAAAAAGAACCTGTTACTACAGAATCAACTGACTACCTAAAAGACCCGTTTTTCAAAATAAAACAAAAGAAAAAAGCCGGGCTTCCCATCATTATAGGCACCATCAACATGTGCTCGTGGATGATCAGAAATATCGAGCTTTCAGAGAAGTGCCTGGACAAGAAGTGTGTTATAACACAGGACAATATAACCGAGAACACCGACGTTGTTATAGCGATGGGGAACGCCCTGAAGGACCACATGAAGCCCACACAAAGATGGCCGGGCCAGTTGTATGTGCTGGTGGACAGGGAGCCGCCCCCTGTAGCACTGAGCCATAGCACCATAGCCAATGGTAAGGTCACCACATTTCACTGCATAGATTACGTGTTGAGTTGGCTAATATTATTTTAGCTACAGATTTTAAAACAAATTAAAAAAAAGCAAAAATTAAAATGGATAGCTAAATATTTAAAAAACATTATTCGTTTTTCAAAAAAAATCATAATTTTTAGTTCATAATGTACCAACGATAATAAATGCTATTATCTTAGGGGCTTTTTACTACATTTGTTATGTTGAAAGTTTTACTGTATCAGAAGTTTAGTTCATCTGTTAACATTTTTAAAACTGTGCAGCTAAATTGTAAATATGAGTTGTAACGAAAAGTATGTATAACAGTACGACAAATCTAAACAACGTTACGACTTATGTAAATGACACGACAAATCTTTATGCCGTCACGACAAATCTTTATGCCGTCACGACAAATTATTCTGACATCACGACAAACCTTTATGACATCACGACACATTTTTAATGATGTCATGTCAAACCTTCATGAGTAACTTACCCATAAATCTGTATCACTCCCGTCACGACAATTCTCCCCATCTTCTAGAAACTTCCCAATGGAGGTACGAGTTTAACCTAACCGGCACCTACCTCAAGTCCTCTGATGTGTACTGGCCGTACCACGTCATGAGGGAAAACTACCACAAAAAGACAATAGATTTCGGTGAGTAAACTTTAGTCTGTAGAGTTTCCAGCACTAGAGGGTAAGCCCTGAATCTGTGAGTAAACTTTAGTCTGTAGAGAGTGTCCAGCACTAGAGGGTAAGCCCTGAATCTCCGCTTAGTGTCCCCTTCAGTTAACACCCTACCTGGTGACGCCACTCATCTAAATAAACATTATTTACACATCAATAAAAACATATATCTCTATATTCGCACCCCCCCTCAAGATTTTGATTTGCACCCCCCCCTCAAACTTTCGATTTGCAACCCCCCCCCCCCCCCTTAAATTTTCAATTTGCACCCCCCCTAAACCTTTAAATTTATTTTTCCAACCCATTTTGGCGCCCCCTAAAGTCGCGCCCCACCCCCGCCGTCCCCCCTCGCTACGAAACTGAAATAAAATCTTGGACGTGTTTTAACTTCGAATTGTGTTTGTTACAGTGGACGTGTTTTAACTTCTAATTGTGTTTGTTACAGTGGACGTGTTTTAACTTCTAATTGTGTTTGTTACAGTGAAAGTGTTTTAACTTCTAATTGTGTTTGTTACAGTGAAAGTGTTTTAACTTCTAATTGTGTTTGTTACAGTGGACGTGTTTTAACTTCTAATTGTGTTTGTTACAGTGGACGTGTTTTAACTTCTAATTGTGTTTGTTACAGTGGACGTGTTTTAACTTCTAATTGTGTTTGTTACAGTGGACGTGTTTTAACTTCTAATTGTGTTTGTTACAGTGGACGTGTTTTAACTTCTAATTGTGTTTGTTACAGTGGACGTGTTTTAACTTCTAATTGTGTTTGTTACAGTGGATATGGTTTAACTTCTAATTATGTTTGTTACAGTGGACGTGTTTTAACTTCTGATTGTGTTTGTTACAGTGGAAGTGGCCAAGAAAAAAACCAAGACAGCCGCCTGGATTGTCAGCAATTGTGGAGGTCAGTCCAACCGTCTGGCCTACGTCAAGGAGATGCAGGTAGGTCAAGACAACCCAGTCTGTACCTGAAATAGTTAGGTCAGGTCAGCTGTTACCTGATATAGTTAGGTCAGGCCAACTGTTACCTGGCATAGTTAGGTCAGGCCAACCCAGTCTGTACCTGAAATAGTTAGGTCAGGCCAACCGTTCACTGATATAGTTAGGTCAGGCCAACCGTTTGTCCCAACCGTTCACTGAAATAAATAGGTCGGACCAATTGTAAACAAATGCAGTTAGCTCAGACAAACCTTATAGTCTATGCCAAAGACATACAGGTAGTTTAGAGAAGGATAAAACAGGTACAATAATTTAAGTATTTTTTTTTTCCATTTGTACACAAACTACATATAACCTTCTCTTATCAAAGTTCAAATTAATAGAACAATACCAAATTAATATATATATATATATATATATATATATATATATATATATATATATATATATATATATATATATATATATATATATATATATATATATATATATATATATATATATTAATGCAAACTATTTCATGAAAAATAAATATCATAGATACTCTTTAATTATCATTTAACTGAAATATATTTTAATAACAAAACTACCACGAGATTTGACATTTCCCACAGAAATACATCGACATCGACATCTACGGCCGATGCGGGAACAAAAGTAGTTGCAGACGAGGTGGACCTTCGGACTGTATGGCGCAGGAGCTGACCAACTACAGCTTCTACCTGTCCTTCGAGAGCGCCATGTGTACGGACTACATCACCGAGAAGGCTTTCAAGATGTACATAGACAACAACTACATCGTGCCGGTGGTCCGAGGATTGGTGGACTACGACCAGGTTTTACCTAAAGGCAGTTTTATAGACGCCGCCAAGTTTCAAAGTCCTAAAGACCTGGCTCTGTTTTTAAAGTCTTTGAGAACGGATTATGTGAGATACAGCGAGTACTTGAGGATTAAGGAGGGGTACCGTAATTACTGGACAGAGGGGGTGTTTTGTGGGACGTGTAAGGGCGTGGTCAATGAAAGCCTGAGACCTAAGAGATACGATATTCTACAGTGGATGAACTCTCAATGTCGAGATCCGGTTATAGTCACACGAAGCATAGGGAGATATTTAACAAAATGATTGGCAATTCGTGATGGTTAGTTTGAAGAACAAATTAGGCAATTTCATGATGTTTGCTTGAGGGATGAAGTAGGTAATTGCATGATGGTTTTCTTGAACGATTAAGTAGGTAATTTCATGAACATCAGTTTCCAGGATGAAGAATTCTACCGACTAAAAGCAAACTTCAAACATGGAATTTGTTGAGCCATATGGATAAAACAAATAAATTTGAACTTGATTTGTTGTTGAAATAATTGGCTACTGTAATGTAATAACGACAGATTTAAAGTTTCCATAGAAACGTTGTTAGTACGTATGTTTGTAACAGTGAAGCTAACTTTAAAATATGGTGGTCCTTTGAGGCAGTTGAAATAATCCATCTTACATTCTGTGTGTATACGTGTTTCTGGTAGAGAGGTTGTTCAGCATATATAAAATCAGTGGTTAATTTACAAATACTATGTCGTTAATCTGCAGCAACTCGAATCTGTTTATTCTCCATGGTTCTAAGCAGACTGCCCATATGTATTTAGAGGTTAAATGTTTAAGTCATGCAATTTTAAATGTACGTTAAATGTCAAGAAACACATTAAGCTCTCTTACAATTTCCAAAAATAAAAAAAATGATGCATTCGTATGGCTTGTACTATAACGCATACAACTGACATGCTACTAGTCTTTTTTTTCACAGTATTTCATTAAGAGAAATGTGTACAATAATAATTTTTAATGTTTTTACGCTTAAAAAAAATAAAAAAAAACCCACCGCAACAATCTTTATTTTAAAAACATTGGCGGTAAATAAATTCAACATCGCGTGTGTTTTTTATTTTATACAAACCTCTCCGTGTAAAACGTTTTGTATTCGAAGTTTCGTTACATGTATAAGTCAACTGTTTTACATAAAAATTCATTTTATATATTGTTATATAGAGCACTTAGTGTTTCTATTTTTTACAATTACATTCGCTACAAAGTTATCAGGTTAAAATGCCTTAATTTCGTGTGTGGGGTAATATGGTAGCATGGTTTTAAGGGTTGGTGACTTTAAATGGATCAATGTTATGCATGGCTTGTATTACGCTATCGTCCTTTAGCATTATTAATTCAGCTAGAGCACCGCCTGACCGGAACGGCAAATATATTTCATTTTCTTTGAGATTTATAGTGAAAGTAAATATTATACTACTTCTTGCATATCTTTATTAGGTGAATTTTAAACTGCGCTGTATATGTTCACAATTCCAATATCAAAGTTATGCATATATATATATATATATATATATATATATATATATATATATATATATATATATATATATATATATATATATATATATAACGATTATAGAAAATTTAATAATTGAGAAATCAAATGATAGTTTTAAATTTAACATCTTGGAATTTTGTTTATATATGCCGATATAAACACCGAACTGCAAATCTTAATGGTAAAATAGCAGATAGATCACATTGCGCTGATTGTTATTATGATACAGCATTTAATAAAGTAGCGAACTGAGAGAAAATAGGTCCATTTTGCTCATACAAATTAAAGGGGCCATGTTAACGCTCAGCCTAGTTTAACAGGCTCCAGATTCTAGAATTATATACATCTAAGTATAACTGTGAATGCCATTTGAAAACATGAAATAGAACGTAGCATAGTACACAGCTTCAAAAGTGGACTAACTCAAGCATGTGAAAGTTGGTGTTTATACGTTACCTTTGTGTGCTATACGAGTTGTCGAACGATGGCCTATTTGACGTCTTACACAGGGTGTAGTACAATGTTGATTTTAACTACAGGGTATAGGATACACGAGTAGAATTTTGGTGCGACACTACAGGATGTAGGATACACTGCTGAAACCTTGAGGTGATTAAAGAAGGGTATCGATACCACTGGACAGATGGGGTGTTCTAAGGGACGTGTAAGGATATCGATACCACTGGACTGATGGGGTGTTCTGTGGGATGTGTAAGGGTATCGATACCACTGGACAGATGGGGTGTTCTAAGGGACGTGTAAGGGTATCGATACCACTGGACAGATGGGGTGTTCTGTGAAACGTGTAAGGGTATCGATACCACTGGACAGATGGGGTGTTCTAAGGGACGTGTAAGTGTATCGATACCACTGGACAGATGGGGTGTTCTGTGAAACGTGTAAGGGTATCGATATTACTGGATGGACGTGTAAGGGAGTGGTGAGTGAAACTGTAAAGCCGAGACGATACGATATTTTACAGTGGCTGACAGACCAATGTAAGGCACCCAATCTATTTACACGACGTCGCCTGTGCATAGAAAAATTTGTTTTATATTCGCGTATGTACATATACACGTTAACGGTTGAATCAGTAGTGAGATTTCTTGGGAATAGCTGTTGAGTAGCGTTGAGAGTTGGGAGGTCAACATTCAATTTATTGTGGAAAATTAGAAGATAAACATTCAATTCGTTGTTGAGTTAGAAGGTAAACATTCAATACATCGTTGAGAGTTAAGAGAGAACGAAAAACAGAGTGAGAAAGATAAGAAAAACAATTGATGAACTGAAAGCCATCCTTGTAAAGATCCCGCTGTCTGATGATGAAAAGTAAGTCTGCTTTCCATACCTTTCTTATTTATCGAGTCAGCATTTACCACCCTAATCAATGCAGACATATCGTGTTGTTGTTTATGTTTTTATGTCGATCTTTATAACGTTAATCTACGTTTATAGCCTTAAGTGATTAAAACATTGGTTGATCAATTTCATTTCAGTCCAAATTGTACTGCTATTTATACTTTATCTCCCAATTGTTCACAATCAAAAGCAAGATATTTCAATGTGTGGACACATAATTTATTAGAAGCCTCTTCATTGTGTTCTATGACGCTCGTATCTTGTTATTCATGAGTTGCCAGGAAAGTTTTACCAAGTTCAAGTTCAAATTACAAATTGATGCGGTAAAAACATTTTTTGTTCATCTGTCAACTCACGTGCACGTGAGAGATCTCTGAACAAAACTTGGTGTAACATTTTTTATAACGACTTGTATATGTCAAGAAAAATTTTGTATAATAGAATATATCAAGACAAATTTGGTGTAACAATATATCAAGACAAATTTAGTATATGCCTAACAGTATATCAAGACAAATTTGGTGTAACAATATATCAACCCAATGTTGTGTATCATAATATATCAAGACAAATTGCGTGTAACAATATATCACAGAGGCGTAGCGGGGGGGGGGGGAGGGACACATGTCCCCGGGCGCCGACCTCAGGGGGCGCCAAAATGGGTTGGAAAAGTAAATTGAAAGCTTGCAAATTTAAGGGGGGGGGTGTGCAAAGCGAAAGTCTGAGGGATGGAGGGGGGTGCAAAATCGAAAGTTTGTCCCCGGGCGCCGGGAAGGGTAGCTATGCCTCTGATATATCAAGAAAATTTTTATGTAACATATTGCTGTGGTCATTACTACTAGACTTTAAGAAAGAAATCCTGCCCATAAACACTATCAAGACATTTTTTGTGTAACAGAACATATGAAGACAATTTTTGTGTAACATATTGCTGTGCTCATTTCTGCCAGACTTATAGAAAGAAATTCTGCCCATAAACACGTACTCGACCAAAGTAAGATTACTATGTGGTCCTGTATATGAGAATCTATAGAGAAATAAAAAGTAACCAGTTTATGACTCCAATAAATCTAGTGAAACAGGACGACAGAAGTTACTTCAAAGGTCTGTTCACTAATTAAAATTTTCTTCAGGTGTATAAAGGTAATTAAAAATATTTTTTAATTTTTTTATTATTTTGGTTGCTATATTTTGTGGTTTAAATGTCTACATTGTTTCTTCATTTTCTTGAAAAACACAACTATAATTTTCTTTTCATTACTGCTGCACATCTAAACCAGACACATCAATATTTTAAAACAAATGTCCAACATTTTAACGACACCCTTTGCTAATAATAGATCGACCTAAATATCTTTGTATCGTACAAAGTTTTTAACCTTATTACAAATTATCGTAAAGATTTATAAGCCTGTAGGACTTAGTCTTCTAGACATAGGATTTATAAGCTTGTAGGATTTAGTCCTCTAGACATAGGGTTTATAAGCTTGTAGGATTTAGTCCTCTAGACATAGGGTTTATAAGCTTGTTGGATTTAGTCCTCTAGACATAGGGTTTATAAGCTTGTAGGATTTAGTCCTCTAGACATAGGGTTTATAAGCTTGTAGGATTTAGTGAACTAGACATAGAATTTATAAGCTTGTAGAATTTAGTCCTCTAGACATAGGGTTTATAAGCTTGTAGGATTTAGTGAACTAGACATAGGATTTATAAGCTTGTAGAATTTAGTCCTCTAGACATAGGGTTTATAAGCTTGTAGGATTTAGTCCTCTAGACATAGGGTTTATAAGCTTGTAGGATTTAGTCCTCTAGACATAGGGTTTATAAGCTTGTAGGATTTAGTCCTCTAGACATAGGGTTTATAAGCTTGTAGGATTTAGTCCTCTAGACATAGGGTTTATAAGCTTGTAGGATTTAGTCCTCTAGACACAGCCAGCAGACTATCAGGTGACACCTTCAGACCGTTAATGTCGTCCGTTGCTTTCTCACCACGTGCATTGATCACCCGTGAGTAATTGCACGTGTTCTACTCATCTAGTAGCCCCGCTTCCCCCCTCCACTCAACTCGAGTTATAAAACAATACTTGCTTTGTATCCTGTCAAAAACCTGCAGTAAACGACATAGATAAATATTGATTTCACCGTGATCGGGTTAGATTAGGAGAGACGCAGGGTTTTGATGGGTTACCCGCGTGCTCAATTGTTTGTATAGAGAAGGTAAATTAAAGAGAATCCACATTTTATGGAATAAAACACAAACACCTTGTTTGACAGAGGGAACTATTTAAGCTGAGTGCTCATCTTTACAGTGGGAGCTATTTCATCTGAGTGCTCATCTTTCACATAGGTAACTATTTCAGCTGAATGCCCAGTAAGGTAAGATGTTTTAATTGAGAGTTCCAGGTTCAAGTTTTATTTAGGTACGTGTGAAACAAATATCAGAAATGTTTAGATAAACTATCTGTTTTGTTAAATTATTGCCATTTATGTGCTTTACTAACCTCAAAACAGATAATAAAGGGAGATGTGCTTTTAGATACGTTAAAATTGATCGCATGTGTGGCGAAATTCGCGTACATTTTTCCATCAAGTTAACATTTTTTTTTTGGTATGATTTGGTTAAATTAAGTAAGGCGTTTTAATTTGCTGAAAGTTAATTAATTCGTTGTGAAAAAACTTTAGTGTGAAATATGTCAACACGTCTGATGAAGACAGAAAGTTCATGAATGTTCGATCTACTTTGATTAACTTGAGATTGCAATTTTTGGTAAAGAATGTTGAGTGTATTATCTGAGCATTTAGTCCGTAGAAGCCAAATGTAGAGTTGTTGATTTAAGAATTTAGTTGGGATGTTGTATGAAATAAATGTGTGTGTGTGTGTGGGGGGGGGGTGTAGGTTCATGAATTTAGAGGGGAGTTTGTAGATTTAATGGGGGAATAGTCTGATAAGTTTGTAGATTGATGAATTCAGTTCTCTTGCTACAAAGTTTGTATTGCACAAGACGCTGCGAACTCAGTGCTATTTACTGAAAGATTTGTTTCGTCATTCCTCCCGTATAATCTATCGCTTTGTTTCTCTCTCTCTCTCTCTCTCTCTCTCACACACACACCCACCCTCTCTCTCTATCTCTCTCTCTCCTTTTCCCTCTTATTTTTTATTTATTTGTTTACATGAAGTTTTCGGATTTTACAGACACCAGCCAGCTATGATGAAACAGTCAAATCACAAATGTAAATGTACATCATAATCTGCGCTCTCTTGTGTATACAGGCGAGCGTACACAAAATGACAGAACTCGTGACATTGTTCAAAACTGTGTACATGCTACAGTCCCCCTAGCAAAAAAAATTGACTCTTACAGTTCTTGTGACGTCCAGTTTGTCTGACGTCCAGTACGTGTGACGTCAATTGTAGGTACCGCCTACACAGCGAGTGTCTAAGTTTATTTAACGTCCGGTCATTGACATCCATTCCGTATAACTACTACAGTGTCAATCTTGACACTCCTCGATACGTCCAGCTAGTGTATCGTCTAGCTAGTGTGACGTCTAGTCATTGCGACGTCCTGTGAGTGTGACGTCCAGCTAGTGTGACGTCCAGTCAGTGTGACGTCCACAAGTGTGACGTCCAGTTTGTTTGAAGTCCAGTCAGTGTGACGTCCAGTCAGTGTGACGTCCTGTCAGTGTGACGTCCAGTCAGTGTGACGTCCTGTCAGTGTGACGTCCAGTCAGTGTGACGTCCAGCCAGTGTGACGTCCAGTCAGTGTGACGTCCAGTCAGTGTGACGCCCAGTCAGTGTGACGTCCAGTCAGTGTGACGTCCAGCCAGTGTGACGTCCAGTCAGTGTGACGTCCAGTCAGTGTGACGTCCAGTCAGTGTGACGTCCTGTCAGTGTGACGTCCAGTCAGTGTGAATGCTACCCTACAGTCGTCTGCTGCTTTTATCCAGTGCCTGGACGTGTATCCTGATTGCCGTCTGCGTGTATCTAACTGGCGTCAAGCTCAACAAGTACCTGCCTCTAGCACCTGCCAAGTTCTCGGGCAGCTACAATGAAATCTCTGGCACCAGAAGTAGCTTACGTGAGTTTACATCAAGGGAGCAAACCTTGGAGGTAACAGGCACTAAAAGGGAAATAACTGATGAAAATAACTCAAAACACGACAGCAAGAGTGAGATAGTACAACGGCCTAACGGTGAATCGATTAATAAAAAAATAATTGGTAAAATCGAAAATATTGAGGAAAATGACAAAGCGAACGGTAAAGAAAAACAAAAGCTAGATGACGAAGGAAATCACAAGGTAAAAGACCAAAATGAAAACTTTAAAGTCAAGGAACAATTAAATGAAAAGACCGGTAACTCTCTATTAAATTACATGAAAAGTTCCTTCCCTTTGAGTAAAATAGATGAGCCCCATGTTTGCGTCAGCACGCTGTATGTGTTCTGTAGCGAGGAGGAAGTGACGCAGAGATACGCCATACCTAATGGTGAAACTACAACAAGAGAGGCTGCAGGTAGAGGCAGTAGAGTTGATGAAACAGGTAGAGGCAGTAGAGTTGATGACGGGTTCGAGCGAATACGTCGCAGGCTGGACGCTGGTCAGACCATCTCCGTCACCCTCCCCTACGTCCAGCCCTGGCTACAGGGTCACCTGTATGAAGCGCCCAGATGTCCCGTCAAAAAGTGTGTTTTTACCCTGGGCAACGCCACGGAAGACACGGACGTGTACATGGTGACCGGTGTACTGCTAAAGGACACGACCTTGCCGGCACAGAGGTGGCCGGGTCAGCTGTATGTCGTGTACGCAACGGAGTCGGCTGTTCACTACCGCAGTGATATTACACAGGGTAGGTGGGCAGTTTAGATGGTTGTATGAATTCCAGGAGGGACGGGAGAGAGTGGGGCAGTGCTCTGGGTTGTCATGATCGGGTTGGAATGGCTGGGTTGTTATAGTAGGGTTAGTGTGGTAGTGGTTGGCATTGTTGAATTGGTATAGTCAAGATGGTTAGACCAATTGATATGCTTGGGTTGGCAGTCGGGTTAGTAATGTTTGGTTGGCATCGAAAAACTTTTATAGTGGAGATGGTTAGACCGGATTGATATGGCATAACTGGGTTGGTATGATCGGTTTAATATTGTAGAGCTGACATAGTTGTCTAGGCATGGGTTGCTAAGGTTGAGTTCACACGGTTAGGTTAGCACAATAGTTTTGGCATGAATGGATTATGTATCGGGTTGGATGGATGAGATTGGTTATCGCCCGTCTATTTATTTGCGTGTTTTCCCCCAGAAAACTCGACCTGGAGACACGCCTTCAACCTGACGGTGACCCACAGGTCTGACGCAGATCTCCACTACCCCTACGGCAGGCTGTTGTACAGCCCGCTCTCTGCTGACCAAAAGCCAGATTACTGTTGGTTTGGTTGTCATTTTTAATTACAATCTTAGCTTGTATTTAGTTTACAATGTTTGTTTGCTAGTTTGCTTGTTAGTTGCTTTGTGGCAATTATTGTAACTCAATTTTAACCTACTTCTGATGCAGCTTCTTTCTTCTTTTTCGTTGTTTATTCTAATTCTATAGGTGGAAGGGATTCCCTCCAACACAATTAAGTATTACGTGTCAACGGATTATGCGAAATATAGGCGAAATATATGGCTCAAATTTCAGTCTTTTCATTGTTGAATGTGCTTCCATAGTCTTTGGCCAAGGCAGCATTTGTTTCATTTTGGAGTTGTCTCTCCTAGAAGAGTTGCTGTCCTCAGCTATGGAGCCTCATCTGCCAGAGTGTTCGAACTAGAGACTTTTCGGGTTAGCAACCATGAACTTTACCGACTCGACCACAACTACTCATTCTGACGCAGCGATTTTATTTGAACTTTCCAGTTACATTCGTCTCCGATGTCAATGCAAGAATATCTCATTTTTGAAATCTAATTAGACATTTTATTACAAGTTAGCCAACTTTAATACTTCACTTCTTGTAATGGAACCAAATTAAAAGATAGGCTGAGTAAATTTGATAAACTTAAAACGAGGCTCAGAAATTATTTTCCCCACATGTTTCAGACGAGTTGGCCAGGAAGAAGAAAAGGACCATCGTCTGGATGGTCAGTCACTGTAGCACACAGTCCAAGAGGGAATTGTACGTCAGAGAGATGCAGGTTTGTTGTCTCATTAGCCTGGATGTTCCAGTGTAGGCTAATTGCTGCATAGATTTTAATTACTAGTTGGTGCATAGATTTTAATTACCTACATTACTTAGCCTGATATATTTTTTGGTGATAGTTTAGTAAATATATGTAGAATATTTTAGCGGAGGTATATTTTTTTTTATAAAAGATGGATACATGGATACATTGCTTCTTACACCGAGCTACAATCCAGTCCCTTTAAACAAAATAAAAGATTGAAAGGGGGAGGGGGGTACCGAACCACCAACAAAATGACGTTCAAAGCAAACTATCATCTCGGCCACGTAAAGTACTATTTTGGTGAAAATGTATCTACTTGTTTTACCTACTATCCATAAGAGTTTTGCAGTGAGGCTTTTTATAACAGTCAAGTAAAATTAAGCCAAATATTTTCTTAAAATTTAATTTTTATCCTAATGTATCCTATTCCATTTTTTAAGCATCATATCAAAGAATTATATGAAAGATTTAAGGCCTGAAATAGTTCCATAAAATCCTCAATTATTCATTGTGTTTTATACTTTGATTTTAACTAATTAATTATTTACCTAATTTCTTTTCTACTAATTTTTCATCACAAATAGTTTTATAAATCAAGCTAAAAACTATAACCGAAAAAACCCACTTTATAATGAAATTCATTCTTTAATCAGCACATCTGTGATCTATACAGACACCATTTACTGAAAGCTAGAAAGCTAAAGCATCTGTTCTCGTGGTTCATAAACAAAAGCGTGTTTTACATCTGAATATGTCAACTATTTTATTAACGTCTTAAAATACATTTTTGTTTACACATTCATATTGAACAGAGTATTTTTTTCGACATAAATACGCATTTTAAAATTCTATAAATTTTTCATATTTTCTGATCTAGAAATACCGACAAGTAAATAAATAAATAAGTTATTTATTAATTGGTAAATATTTAAATTAGTATTTACCTGTTTAGCTTATTTGTAGATGATAATCCTTACGTTGGGCCTAAGAATTTTACGTTTAATATTTTAGTTTGGATAAATGGGGGAAGAATAGGTTACGAATATTTTTACTGTGGCTATGTTAGGGCCAGTCCTAAATCTTGTTCAAAGATGACACAGAATAGAGGCCATTGCAGATTCTTGATTTGACTATTGTATTCTATATTTCTGCAGAAATATGTGAACATAACGATAATCGGCCGGTGTGGTGGATTAGACCCCAACTGCCCGCGTAAAGACACGGGTCCCTGCATCCATGACATCTTCAAAGACTACCTGTTCTACCTGTCCTTCGAGAACTCCATCTGCCACGAGTACATGACAGAGAAGGTGTTCAAGGTGTACCTCCAAACGACCGCCATCATACCTGTGGTCAGGGGCGGGTCCGACTATGCCAGACTTCTCCCAGCCAATACGTTTATCGACGCCGATTGGTTTCAGACGCCGAAAGACTTGGCTCTGTTTTTGGCGGCGTTGGGCCGAGATCTGAAGACGTACTCGCGGATGTTGGAGCTAAAATCTTCATACAAGACACTGCCGAGGTTCCGCTTGTTTTGTGAGTTGTGTCGATCTTTGGTCTACCAACTTGTGAGGCCGAAAGTTTACGACATCAAAACGTGGTTGGATGCAGCTTGTAGGGAGCCTAAAAACTTTACAGTTTCAACCGAAGAGGAGAAGTTTAGCTGACAACTCTCGCGATTCACTTTTGACGAACTTCTTCTGTGTTCGTCATTATCGACAACATCGTTCTTTACTTGTGAATCCCCTTAAGAGCAGAGGGATGCAACATCACCACGTTCTTCGTACTCGGTATTTTGTGGGTATTCCTCGAAGTTGGTCGAGGTTCCTTGTGCTTCACTCATAACTGATTTTTATTATTGGTAGCTTCCTCCGACCACCTGATTTTCTAAAAAATGAATAAGTCATTCATTAGCAAATTTTATTACTTGTTGACTGTTAAAAAGTCTATCTTTGAAAGCGTAGACCTAGTCTAGATGTCTGCTCACTTACTCTTGCTGACTACTTGTGGATACGTTTCTTGTATCAAAAGTAGGAGTTCCTGTTTGTTGTTTACCATCATCACATATTTTCTCTCTTTCTTTTGATATATCTCTAACGTCTTTCAAATTTCTTCTTGCGTGTCAAATTTCTTATAACGTCATACAACATCTTAATGTTTCGTTGTCGTGCAGCTTCTTCTGCCTTTCCATGAATGAAGCGTTTGTTCTCTGTTCTTTCTAACATTTGTCATGCATCTTTAAATTGGCCTCCCTATACCAACGTACGTGGAATGCCTTCTTACGCTGATCCTACGTTTTTACCATATGGTTGGCCCTCCTTCTGCCACATCTTTACATTACGATTGTTTCCCCTCCCCCCTCCCCTACCACAGAAATTCACGAGAACTGCCTTCTCATGGTGGTCCTGACGTTTGGCTTTTTTAAAATTATGTTTTTGTTTCTATTTTAGTCTATTAGTGTCGACTACTCCTTGAGTAACTTGGGTTTTTTTAAAAGGTCTTTACGCTAATTTACGCTAATTTCCAAATTTATAGGAGCCATGGCCAATGATTTCCCAAACAAGTAATTTGTTTCACACATATGAGTGCTTTGAATTGGTGTTTAAATGCGCAATTAATGAATTTTTTGTTTCTCTTTGCATTTCATGTACTGAAAGTTAACTATGCGAGGTAGTCTGCTTGATGTTTTTTTTTTCGTGTGGAAAAGTTCAGCTTGGTTTTAAATGTTGCAAGAGGAGCTTGTGATCTGGAGTTATGTCTGCAATCTGTGTTACAGCACATTCAAGAACAATCTCCACGCTCTAAGAATTAATATGTTATCAACTTGCTTTTCAGTTGTTTTTTCTTATTAGTCGACGCCCAGTTTTTCATTTGCCATTTAATTAAGATGTTGTCGTCAAATAAAATCAGTCAAGACGAATATAAATCATAGATGCATATTATATGTATTATATTATTATTATTATATGTATGTGTATATTTGTGTGCCTGTTTATGTCTATGTGTAAATAGCGTAATCTAACGCTTCAGTGAATATACTGGGCCTAGACGTGTCTTTAGTTTTAAGTCAATTACTTCTAAAAGAAATAATTATGATTGCTAAATGTTTGCGAACTTGTCAAAATGAATACATGAAATAAAAAAATAAATAAAAAAATAAAATAGAACAGTTAATAAGTTTCTAAAATCAGCCATTGGCGAAAAAGACAAAAAAAAAAGACATGCAACATTAAACAAAAAGCAAACACTTACAAATGTGCCTGCCTAGTACTAAAATACCGATTGCACATAAAAACGAACATGCAATGAACCTTCTTGTGTGCCGACATATTCTACTATAGAGATTTCTGAGTTGAGAAATTCACTGATGTTCATCTGAAAAGTTTATTACATGCTGCGTAGTTTCAAAGGGTAAGGGTATCGATACCCTTGGGTGGATGGGGTTGCTTGTAGGACGTGTAAGGGTATCGATACCACTGGGTGAACGTGTAAGGGTGTGGTGAGTGAAACTGTAAAGTCGAGACGATACGATATTTTACACTCGCTGTTAGACGGTAACGTTGAATGGTAAAGTGCTCGACAGCTAACCTGAATGTCCTGGTTCGGATCCTTTGCTCAAGTTCGTAACTCGTGTTCTGCCTACACTATACCTTCGTATGACGAGGTCACTGAAACACGTGAACTCTACTTTCAATGCCCCATGAACCGTGAGGCTGGGCAAGTTACCCCCCCCCCCCCCCCCACCTAAAAAAATAAATACAGATTTAAGTCAGAAATATTGACTTTTCAATATCTATAGTTTCTGAAAATACACACAATTCTAAAGATTTTGTTATATTTATTTTGCCTAATTACGTATCGCTAGTATTTTTAAAAAAATTAATTAGAGTAATGATGTAATTCACCTACATTAAGTGACATTTGGAAAAATAAAAATTAAAAACGAACTTAAATGGATGTTCTTATTGCAACTGGGAGGTTTTAAAATGACTTTTTAAAAATAGATTTCGCTTTTTCTCGTTTTTTCCAAATTTAGTATATTTTTCTCAAAATGTTACTTTTTAACAAATTTGTACCAATTAAATCACCATAACTAAAAAGTACTTGAGATATTTAGCTAAAATTTTGCACACATGTGCACTATTCATTGCTTGTAAAGCTGAACTAAAATAATATCTATGTTTTTGAAAATTCACTTTTAATAAAACAAAAACCTAAGTCTACTTCCTTATTTTTTTATTCTTTTTAGGTCTCACATTTTAAAATTTGGCTAAAATCTATTTAAAAAAAATATTTTCTAATTGTTTTGGTTAATCCTTTTTGGATTTGTGTAAGTTAAAGATTCATGTTATTCTGAAAAACAGAACATGTGTTATTGTGATTTCAATGAGAGATAAAGTTGACCTTTTCCCCCTAAAAATGACACTTTTTAGAAAATATTTTTACAAAACCATTACTTTTTAGTGATTTGTTTTTGCATTTTTTATAATCTTTGTTAACAGACCAACAATATCAGCCGCCCAGGCTATTTTGGACGTCACTTTATGTTGATGTACATGGAAAAAATTATAATCAGTGAATCGACATTTCCTTAAACCTGACTTGTGCATTTTAGGAAAAAGCTTCAAATAATAGTTCAATACGACGTAATGTTAAAGAACCATTTAACAATTTTTATGATCGTTTGAATATATAAAGACAAATACGGTCTTACATCATACTATTGTGGAACAAACTATTACTAGACTTTAAAGAAGCTGATGATGCCTTTTGGCAAGTAATAAACGAAGCCTAAAAGATATGTGGACTGTTGTATTGGAATCTATGAAGTGACACAATGTTAAGCCACCAAGGTTTGTTAAACAAATAAATATAGTTGATACAAGATATACGTTAGTTGAATTTTCTGTTATTAATGAAAATTCAAAGCACAAATAAATCTGGCTAAACCAAGATAACGTACGTTAGTTCAGAAGATTTTTTTAAAAATAAAATTTCTTCTTCGTCGTTTTAAGACAAACGCATACAGACGTTTTAATAACAAGCTTTTATGTAATAATGCAATAAATTGAGAAAAATGATTTTCTTTAAATATATAATATACACTACTGTTTAAATAACTACAATATCGCTATAATATATATTGGCTACCTTTGCAAATATTTAGGAAGAAACCCAAGCTTTTCTTTATAGTTATTTAAATTTTAGTGTATTAGTATGTATTTAAAGAAAATCATTTATTTTCTCCTTTTTAGTGAATAATTACATAAAAGCTTGTCCATTGAAAAAGTGCGTATAATGCGGAATGATAGTAAGCCCCCCTACTTTATTTAGTTACTTTTAATTAATTCATAAAAATATTAATTAGCCATCCAATTAAGTCAGATTCTATACCAAATTGCATTGTCATTGGAACTTGACCCATGTGCCAGTTTGAAAAGAATCGGTCAGTTAGAAGTGCTTAAAATTTCGCTCAGCCGTTTCAATCTATGACGACAGAAAAAAAGGCAGACAGAGGAAGCAAGTTAAAGAAAAACTTGCATAAAAATCCAGGCGCTTCAACATGTTACAGATACCCCCCCCCCATGTTACTGTCACTAGCTTTATAAATTAACTCACTGGCTCGCTTAATTAACTAATGACAACTAACCTAAATGTCTTTTAAGCGTGAATAGGTATAAATCTTGTCTTGTTTTATGAATAATGCAATAATCATTGTAAGATTTATATCAAAGATGTGAGTAAAACTGCCAAGTACTACGTACCATCAAGGTTGATGTTTGAACTTGAGTGAGTGTCAAGTGACATGTTTAACGTGTAAATGTCGTCTGCTGCATTATTCCCACGTCTGCCGTTCCCACGGTTCAACCATTCAATCAGTTAAATTTAGTTATAAAATATTCTCCGCGTTGCATCCTGTCAATAATTTGCAGTACACGACTCGGATAAATATCGATTTCATCTGATCTAGTTAATTTTCAAAAATATTCTGATGGCTTCATGTGTACTTTAATATTCCTTTTATAAAGTAAAACTCAAATAAAAATCACGTTTTTTGTAGCTTAACTCATGTTTTGCCGAGAGAGATATTTAAGTTGAATTCTGACGTTTAGAAGGCAGGATTTGACGACAGACTCTACGGTTTGTATTTGTTTTAGTTTAGTGAGAAAAGGTGACGTGATCTTCTTAGTACTGTTGGGATAAACTATTTGTTTAGTTAAAATCGCTGTTAATACTTTTTAAAGCTACTTTAAAAGTTTAATATTCAAATAACTATAATATAGTTTGAATAGTCAGGTAACTATAACTTAGTTTGATGTAATGTTTAGATAATTATTTCTTTTTATACAATTTATCAGAGCAAATACCCAGCAACATTTTATTTGAGGAGACTATTTAAAGTAGGTTTAGCTCTTCTACAGATTTCTTTTACGGAAAGTGAATTCATTTCTTGTAAAAAATAAAATATCTATGAAACGATGGAGCGATCGGCGGCTGGAGATTAGAGAAATTTCCAGAATGTTTGCTTTAGTTTGACAAGGTTGAGAAACGACCGCTGTTCAGTGTTGTGTCCAAATCTTGCCATTAGGTCCAGAGCTGATAAGTTTGTCTCTTGCTGCTTTATCTTAATTGTACATCAGTCAGTGTAGATTATGTGCCTAAACCTTTTTCTTTCATCCTATTTCCCTTTTCACATATATGTGTTTGTTTTCTCTCTTTATAAAATGAGTTCCAATATTTTTAAAATATGAAAACGTATTTATTTACAGACTTGGGCATTGTGGCACAAACAAGGAATTACATGTAGGCCTATATAACAATCTACTGTCTCCGGTTTGTGCATATTGCTGAGTAATGAAAAAATTGTTAACTGGTGTCACAATAAAAAATTGTCTATAGGCTACCCTCCCCTTGTAGTCAGTCAAGCGACTCCTACAGTACCTATGAAGTAGGTGAAAGTGCAAATAGTACGAACTACAATCAGTGTTACGTCCAGTAAAGGTAAAAAAAAATATGAGTGTGACGTCCGTTGGTGACGTTCAGTGAAGGTTAGATTTAGTCACTGTGACGTCCAGTCAGGGTAAACGTCCAGACGTCCAGTGAGAATAACGTCCAGACAGTGTGACGTCTTCCAGTCAGAGAAACGTCCCAGATACTACAATGGCATCCCTCAAACGTCTTCTGTTTGTATGTTGCACCTGTGTGTGTACCCTGCTACTGATTAACCTATGTGTCACCAAGTTCAGTAACTTTATGCCTCTAGCACCTAGTGAGCTCACTGTTAAAAAGATGACTTTTGAAAGGAATAATGTTGATGACGATGGCAAAACAAAGGATAAGAAACAACCTTTTGCTGTAGATCTCGACAATAAAGAAGATCGGCAGGTCAATAACCGGCTTGATAAGTTTAAAGACCAAGAACAATTTAATGAAAAGACCGGTAACTCTATATTAGCTTACATGAAAGGTTCCCTCCCTTTGAGTAAAATCGATGAGCCCCATGTTTGCGTCAGCACGCTGTATGTGTTCTGTAGCGAGCAGGAGGTGGCGGAGAGATACGCCATACCTAATAGTGAGACAACAACAAGAGATGCTGCAGGTAGAGGCAGTAGAGTTGATGGCTCAGCTAGAGGCAGTAGAGTTGATGACGGGTTCGGGCGAATACGTCGCAAGCTGGACACTGGTCAGAGCATCTCAATCACGCTCCCCTACATCCAGAACTGGCTAGAGGGTTACATGAAAAACACGCCCAGATGTCCAGTCAACAGGTGTGAATTTACCCTGGGCAACGCCACGAAAGATACGGACGTGTTCATGGTGGGCGGTGTCCTGCTGATGGACAAGACCTTGCCCACACAGAGGTGGCCGGGTCAGCTGTATGTCGTGTACGCTGCCGAGTCGGCTGCCCACTACCGCAGTGATATTACACAAGGTAAGTGGGCGTTTTGATTGTTGTATGAATTCTTGTGGGGACGGGTTGATTGGCTGGGTTGGGAGAGTTGGGTAGCATGGTTGGAATATCAGGGCTGGAATGACATTGCAGGTTTCGCTTGGTCGGGCTGGCATAGGTGGTTTTGCATGGTCGGATGGGTATGGCGGGTTGGCTTAATTGGTGGCATTAAGGGGTGCATGGTAGGGTTGTCATATTCAGAATGGGATGGTCGAGGTGGCTTGGTTGGTTAGGGATTGTCTAGTTGGCATAAACGTTTCTCGGGTTGGCATGGTCGTGGTGAGAGTTGTGTGGGTGTGGTGCTGTTTGACATGATTGGTTGTCATGATAACTAGCTTTCAGGGTTTACACACTGATTTGTTCACGTTAGACATCAGTCAGACTCTCAGCGTTGATGCGTACCCAGCACACGTGGACGTAAGTGTTCTCTGTATGTGTACTCAGCATACGTGTGCCCTGTACTCACTGTTTCTCGTTACAAACTGTACGTCGCAACACTTTACACGACTCTATGTTTATGTATTATCTTGAGTACTTGGTAGATTTTTACTTTCATTTATGTTCGGGTTTTAACCTAAGCATATATCGCGTTTATACGCACAACATGTATACTATACATGTCTAGATTTTAGAAAACTCGCAACAAGTAAACATGTTCCGTTGGAAAAATGTTTCCATATAAAATTAACTTGTTGCGGGATTTTTTTTCTAAACTTGTAAAGTATACATGTCGTTAGTATAAACTTGGTTTCACAAAACATTTTTTTTCGGCTAGTGCATTGGCCATTTGAAAAAGTAGTAATACAATATCTCTGAATGAAACAAGTTTAAAGTTACATTAAAGTTGAACTAAAATTACAATTTCTTTTATAATTTTCTCCCCAGAAAACTCGACCTGGAGACACGCCTTCAACCTGACGGTGACCCACAGGTCTGACGCAGATCTCCACTACCCCTACGGCAGGCTGTTATACAGCCCGCTGTCTGCTGACCAGAGGCCAGATTACTGTATGTTTGGCTGTCCTTCTTTTGTTATGATTGTCTCCTATTTGTGAGTGGAGGTATAGTTGCAGTTACCTCCCCTATGTAACGGTGCGGTCTAGCAGTAGACTGAGCTGCAATAGGTTTTAGACGTTTCATAACATTTAATAATATCCAATCTTTCACAGCATTTGGAGTGTCTAGACTCACATAACGACCCCCCCCCCCTCCCAATGCTGTTCCCTGATACACCTGCCCCTATACAACACATATCAACTCAGTCGATCCTCCGTCTGAAGTCTTTCATTTACACATACAAACACACACACGGACAAATGACTCTTTACAATATTTACAGTACACATAGTTAGCCAATATTTCCAGCGTCAGGAAAACAACTAACTTGTGTTCCGTGTTTTAGATGAACTGGCGAGGAAGAAAAATGAGAGCATCGTCTGGTTTGTCAGTCACTGCGAGACCCAGTCCAAGAGGGAATTGTACGTGAAGGAGATGCAGGTTGGTTGACTCACGACCCTCGTCTATGGGTAGCTTTGACGCTGCTGTTGGTATTTTTTTTTTGTTCCGCTGCACTTGCAATTTTTTTTCTGGTACAGTTTTGCATATATTATTTATCTAAACTTACTTTTGTAGGTATATTTTTATAATTTTATTTTGAGTTGCTAAACGTTTTTCTTTATAACATTGTGTGTATCAGTCACTATATATAACCTAGAATAATATATATGTTTTTCTATATTATTAGTTTTAGTAATGTTTTAGCTCTAAGTCTAAGACTTTCTCCAAGACAAACATCACACCATCACATTAGCGACCATTATAAAACGTATGTCTTATATCCATTCATTGACTGTTTCATTGTGTGTCCCCAGAAATATGTGAACATAACGATCATTGGCCGGTGTGGAGGTGTAGACCCGACCTGCCCACACAGAGACCAGGGACAATGCATGCACGACATCTTCAAAGACTACCTGTTCTACCTGTCCTTCGAGAACTCCATCTGCCACGAGTACGTGACAGAGAAGGTGTTCAAGGTGTTCCTCCAGGAGACCGCCATTATCCCAGTGGTCAGGGGCGGGTCCGACTATGCCAGACTACTCCCAGCCAACACGTTTATCGACGCCGATTGGTTTCAGACGCCGAAAGAACTGGCTCTGTTTTTGACGGCGTTGGGGCGAGATCTGAAGACGTACTCGCGGATGTTGGAGCTCAAGTCTATGTACAAGACACTGCCGAAGTTCCTCGTATTATGTGAAGTGTGTCGAGCCCTGGTGCACCAGCTTGTTAGACCAAAAGTTTACGACATCAAGAAGTGGTTAGATGCCGGCTGTAAGGAGCCTAAAAACTTTACAATTTCAAATATGGAGAGTCAGCGATCTTAGTATTCTAGCTCGTATTCACAAAAATGGATACGAAAAAACTAACAATTGTAACGTCTAATAGTGCATATTTAAATATATAGTATATATATATATATATATATATATATATATATATATATATATATATATATATATATATATATATATATAATTGAAACTTGCAACTTAAAAGAAAACCAATATATAATGCACATGTTTAGTTATTTTTGGTCAATGTGGGTATTAAAGCTAAAAAATAGTTGGTTTTTTTTTCGGTAAACTTTTGTATGCCATAGAAGCAATGTAATTAATCAGCGATAATTTTGATGTTTTGCAAAAAAAAAAATTAACGCTAAATTTTAATATCTTGAACTACGGGTGTCAAACTGATTTTTTAAAAAGGTCCCAGAGCTTTTTTGAAAGTTGCTATGTCAAGAACCCATGATTCTAAGATACTGGGCACTCAATTGTTCGTATATCTCAAGTATTAAAAAAAGTTATGACGTTTAAAACATTTGTTTTTAACTATTTTTTCCAACACCCAACAAAGTGCCATGCTTGAGATGATATATCTGTAAAAGTATATGTCACAAACACAATCTTTTGAACTCAACACATACAGACAGAACAGACTCAATGCTTTTCAAACCTCAAAAATAAGTACATCATTTAAATTAATTGCATTGAAATTGGCTTTTCTCACTTTTTGAAAAAATTAAAAAGGGAAGTTTACTTAAAAAATATAAAATTTAACATTTTTAAAACAACACCAAAAAAATGTCGGATGAAAGAACATACTTGTTAAGTATATCAAAGTGTAGGGGAACAACAAAGCTTCTTTGAATTTAAGTAACATGTATGCCTATAACAAGCACGTTTGAAACACAAGTTTAATCAGAAACGTGCAGGGGCTCACAATCTGTAGAAAATATAGTGCTAGGGTCACATAAAGAAAATATTTTTGTTGAAATAATTATTAGACTTTACAACAAGTAGTACATTTAAAAGTAAGAACATTTATTTAGAATGCCTCAGTCGATGTATGTTTATGTTATAAATATGTATTTATAAATAGCTGCTTTAACAATTATTACGATATGGTAGTGCTATACCACAATACAGTAGCTTAATAAATACAACTACGTAGGCTAAATAGATAACAATACTAGTCTTGCATTCTCTCCCTTAATGTCTTAACAGTCGTTCTTCACAACTATAACCTGAAAATATGTAATCAATAGCCACCATAAACAGACAACATAATTTAGAGAACGTAACAAGGTTTTTTTCGAAGACAAGGGCTATATTCTTTTAAAGGAATCTAATGAGGGTTTATTTCCAAGCAGACTGCAAAGTGTAAATACATATGTACTCGTGCACTGATCATTAATATATATAGACATTGTTACAACTGTAGGAGAGATCTCGCTTACCCTCCCCCCTCCCATTCTAGGTAAGTGTTGGATGCATTAAATTATCATACATCTAGTCTAATACTACTAAAACTCAACTTTGTTTACAAGTTTGAATATTTATTTGTTTGTCTGATTTACTATATCAAATGGTTCTACTCATCGTGGAGAGCTGTAAAATAGTATGTAGGTAGAGAATAATTTTTTATTGCAGACAGACTGTTAATCACACATTTATTTAAAGAAGTTAATTAATTTATTGATTTATTCATAGATAGATTAACCACATTTGTTTTAAAGTTTTAGAACAATGGCTTAACTCTGGCTGAATAGTGATGTTTGATAACTCATTTTTTTGTTTGTTTTTCTGATTTGTTATTGGGGAGAATCTTCATTATGTGTAGAGCTGTATAATGATATTTTGGGTGGTAAATATTGTTCCTTCTTAAAAACACTATTAATTACAAACTAATTTAAAGCCGTTAATTAATTTATTAATATATTCATGGGTAAATTAACCATTTTATTATAAAAGTTTAAAACAATGACTTTAGTAATAGTAAAAAGATTCATTTTCTTTGTACAACAATGTTTTCAATTATTTCTCCTAAGGCCTAAGTGTGAATGATAAGGTTGACTATCCGGACCTCGTGGGGCACAGGGCAGGTGAAGTAGAGTTCACCTGTTTGTTTGTCCTTAGCATATGAAGGGATAGTGTGGTCAGAGACATGCTCGTCTGGAATCGTTTTCTTAAACGATAAAAACATGTTGTCTGAGACTTGGTGGGACACTGGGCAGGTGAAGTAGGGTTGAGTAAGTCACCTGTGAGGTCAGTATATGAAGGGATAGTCCGAAATCGTTGTTTTCGGTGTTTTTAAAAGATAAAAAACATATGTTTGAATGTGGGAGGGGGAGGGGGGGGGGCGGTGGGTTTCAAATTAAAAAGTTTGTCCCCGGGCACCGGGAAGGGTCGCTACGCGTCTGAGTGACAGACGTGATGTTTTTTACGGATGACCCCCGAAACCCACAGTTATCCAACGGATGACGGGTAGTCTATTTAATATTAAAATTAAAGCACACACTAAAAATGTACACATCATGTACTATTTAGTTTAAAATCATCGCTAAACCCAATCCATGCATCAAATTTCTACTTTAAACTATACCCATATATTGTTGACACTGGCGACGAAATGTACGATCACGTGACCTTCTACATTTAACAGAAAAAAATATTCAGCTATTCTAAAAAAAATATTAGCAATGTATGTTGTAATTAATTTCCAAAGTACCCTCTGTCAGAAAAGACAAAAAAATTGAACTAAGCAATAAGAAAAAAATAGACTCTGATACAAAGTTAAGTGGGGTTTAGTTCATCGGAAGAAGCTGAAAAATTACGTGGAAGTCTAATCATTGAACGGCGTTATAGCTTTAATAATAAAAATATGCTGAAGAAATAAACTATAAAAACTAGACTCACAAACTTGTTTATTAAGTAGCTATATGTTGTTTTTTTTACTGAACTATCAAACCTCTAAAACTTGCTAACATCAATTTAGAAAAGCTTGGTGGTCCGTTGTTCACAAAAAAAAAACGGCAATTTTCTTCGGTCGGGCTTAAAGCTATTTAAGTGATCGTTATAGTGTGTTTTTTGACCATGCACAGAAATGATAAACAATTGTAGTGTTTTGGCAGAAAAAAGGACCACCTTTCTGAAAATGCTAATAAAAAATGTATGCGATGTCAGAATCACATAGTAATTTTTACTTTCTTCGTTTTTTTAAACATTTAAAATATTTATTCTATTATGTTTTTTTTTTTTTGCTTAGTATCCAACTAAAGGCTATTGAATTCTGCAAATTTTACATGTATTTGTAAAGAAATATGTTGAACGGTCAAAAAAGGCCCGCGAGTTGAATAAGAGAGGGGTCAAAATCCGTTACTTGACTGCATTGAAAAATAATGTCGGTGATAGTCCTTTCATATGACGTCACGTCCGTTCGTGATACCTACGTCCGCCGCCACGGTGGTGTACACCAGACGTAAACACAATCAGCTGTTCACCAGCGCTGGACGCGTTCACTGTATGTAAAGAACCGCACCCGCGGAAAAGGAAAAATACGTTAAAAAACTTGAACTCTTAGGAATTGAAGATCCTTATACTGTTATTGACAGTTTCGTAGATAATATAAATATGTGGCCAAAATTTCTAAATAAAAATACTGTTAGTAATACTGTTTGCGTTTAGAGTTTAAGTAGACGAATCTGATCAAATGCAGTTCTCGATACTTTGTTTCAGGTAAGGACAGTAAAATAATAAACTTCATTTTAATTATAAAAGATAACTATTAATAAAAGACAAAGTCATAAGTAATAATAAGAAGAATAAGATCTAATAGTAGGCCTAATAATAGTGTTTTAATATCTAGATCTAGAATCTAGCTCTAAACAAAATTCGGACCACAGATCTAGATTCTGGATTTAGGGTGACTGGCTCCGCTGGGTAGACATAGAATCTAAAATCTACTTCTTTACTTAAATTTAATTACAAAATTTAGATCTACATTCGATTCAAAATACACCCATAATAAATCAAAAGTAGTCATAATAGGCCTAATAAAGCATTTAATTGTCTCTAAGATCTAAAATCTCGCTCTATAATCTAATCATTTTTTAGCAAACGACATTTTCTGAAATTGAAATAGATTGTATGACTAGACTTAGATCTAGAATCTGCTACTTAAATTAAATTGTAAAAACTTTATACAAGCATGTAGTTGATATTATTGTAGTAGAAGGCTTTAATAAATTACTAAGGCCTACCTACTTTGTTGTCTTTTTACAGCCATATGTATCTGATACTGGACTGAGTTTAATTAAATTCATATTCATATCTAGTAATTGGTCTACTAAGTTTTTGTAGCCTAGTAGTACAATCTAGATCATACCAGCCAACCAGTGGCGGATTAAGGGGGGTGCTGAAAGGGCTGCAGCCAGGGGCCCCCGAATTTTAGGGGCCCCCAAATTTTGATTTCACAACTATAGCAAATATTACTTTATCGTTGATTTTTTAATAGCTTAGTTAAATTATTTTTTTAATGTCAAAAGTATGAGTTAAAATTTCACCAAGTATTAACAAACATCACTTAAATGATAGCTTTATCAGTGAATGTGCCGAGACAAGCGAGATCCATCAGATACTATCTGATCTTTAATGTTTAATTTTGCCTTATTTAACCAGCAGTTCCTCTACCTGACATCGTTACCGATAGAAAATGTTTTGAAAACCATTTAAAAACACACAGTGTCGAGGCTGAGGGAGGGTGGGTGTATTTGTATGAGGGGCTGTTTGCGTATTGTCATAGTGTAGATAGATAAAAATAAGACTAGACTGGTAGAGACTAATAAGGACGGTGTAAACTTGACGGTAGACGATTTGTTTTGAGACTATGTGTTACATGGGTGTTAAATTTGGGGAAAAACGGCCCAGTTGTATGGATGGACTAACATAGCGAAGTAGATGGTTAGACACGGACCGATTTAGAAGTGTTTTTTTTTTAAAGTATTGACCTTTTGACCTAGTGGCTTAGATATTTTAAAAAATGCGAAACATCTCTAGTTCAAGGCACATTATCACCCGTATTAATTGCACTATAGGAATTGCCAAACAGGCC